TTTACCAAACCAACATACAAACATGTCTTCCAACACACAAGAAACCCGCCTCGAGATCGAGATCTCTTGGGATCACCCCGCAACTAGTACCAAACATGTCGCAACAGTCAACGCACTCTTGGACAGTGGCACAGAAGACTGGATCATGTCTTGGGACTGTATCCACCGCGCGAAAATACCCACCCAACCTCGACCAAAGCCTCTCATCATCAGACAGGCCGATGACACCCCTATGTCCAATTCCGGCACCCACATCACTCAACCCCTTACCCTCCGCATCGGCAACCATCTAGACAGGGCTATCACCTGTGAGGTTGGCTCGTTTGCAGGAGAAGACCTCGTCATACCACATCGATGGCTCAAGGAGCATCAACCAACCATCCATTGGGGACGCAACAGTGTCAGCTTCCATAGCAACAACTGTATAGTCAATGGATGTTTCGTATCAGTCAAGGACATATACGATCAACACCCAGAAGAGCTGGTCATCAGGCTGTTGAGGGCGTCACCCAAGAAGCAGACGACGATCGAGCAACACCCCTTTTGGGCAAGAGCATCGGTAAACGAGGCTCTCGTTAGTGCTATACCGGTGGAGTTTCAGGAATACGCCGACGTGTTCTTCAAGGAAGGAGCCGCTCGACTACCTGACCACTCTGAATGGGATCATACCATTCCTCTTATGGAAGGAAAGCAGCCTCCGTGGGGACCGATCTATTCGCTCTCCCCACCTGAAGATAAGGCACTCCGGGAGTATTTGGACGAGAACTTGCCCTCCGGCAAAGTCGTCCCCTCCACTAGCCCAGCAGCGGCACCCGTCCTGTTCGTTCCGAAAGCTAATGGTAAGCTTCGGTTATGTGTCGACTTTCGTGGTTTGAATGGAATCACAATCAAGAACCGTTATCCACTGCCGCTCATGAACGAGCTGGCCGATGCAACGAAAGGAGCACTCTACTTCACGAAGATAGACCTGAAAAATGGCTATAATCTGATTAGGATTGCTAAGGGCGAAGAATGGGGAACCGCTTTCCGAGCGAGGTACGGCCTTTTCGAGTATAGGGTAATGCCTTTCGGCTTGACCAATGCTCCTGCGTCGTTTCAGGTCATGGTCAATACCATATTCAAGGATCTTCTAGATCAAGGCGTAGTAGTCTACCTGGATGACATCTTAATGTATTCAAAGACTAGAGAAGAGCATACGACTCTTGTACGAGAAGTTTTGGAGCGACTGCGACGACACCATCTATACGGAAACCTCGAGAAAACGGAATGGTATCAACAGGAGGTAGAATTCCTGGGATTTATACTATCAGGAAAAGGGAACCGAGTATCACCAAAGAAAGTCCAGGCGATCGAAGGTTGGTTAACCCCAACCAAGGTCAAGGAACTTCAATGCTTCCTCGGTTTCGCCAATTTCCTAAGACGGTTCATCCACCGATACTCTGAGGTTTGCAGACCCATGACCGATCTCCTGAAGAAAGGTTCCGTATGGAAATGGGGCAGGGAACAGCAGGACGCGTTCGACGAGCTCAAGAGGAGATTTACGTCTGCTCCAATACTCCGGCACTATGACGAACACCGCGAAGCAATCGTGGAGACCGATGCGAGTGACTGGGCCGAGGCCGCAGTACTCTCTCAGGTGTTCGAGGACGGTATTCTACATCCGGTAGCTTACCACTCTCGCAAGTTCAACGAGGCAGAGGTTAACTATGAGATCTACGACAAGGAGATGCTCGCAATAGTTTCTGCCCTCTTAACTTGGAGACATTGGCTGGAAGGGACGGACATCCCTATCCAGATACATTCGGATCACCAAAACCTGCAGTATTTCACAACGACCAAGAAGTTGTCGAGAAGACAAGCCAGATGGGCCGAGAAGATAGCACCTTTTCGCTTCAAGATCCATTACCGACCAGGCGAAAAGAACGGCAAGCCAGATGCACTTACAAGGCGTCCGGAGTTCGCAATGGAAGGGGGAGTAATGCGTGAGCAGCCCGTAAAACAGCTACTCAGCGCAGAACAGTTTGTCAGAAAATCACGGACCAGCGTAGAAACTGGGTCCGAAGTGATTGGCAACCCCGAAGAGAAATGGAATCAGTTGGATCAGTGGTACAACATACCGAGCGTAGAGCTGCCTCAGCCACTACAGGGTTGGTATGAACAGGAAAGACGATGGGTTCGGAGGATGGTTCCGGATGAACACCTCCCTGATTCAAACCTTGAGATCTTCGGACCGCCGGAGGCCGCTATCGAAAAGATAGAGCCTGCCGCTGAATGGAGTCCCGATTCGAATGACCCCACCCACGATGGTCGATGGGTAGTACCGGGCTACGCGGTCAAGCAGGTCATTGAGGAACATCATGATCGACCCGTAGCGGGGCATCTAGGAAGGGATAAAACCCTCGAGTTGATTGATAGGAACTACTGGTGGCCAGGAATGTCCACGGATGTAGCCAACTTCGTCAAGACTTGCGATGTATGCCAGAGAGCCAAGCAACGTCGGAGACACTTGTCACTCCCTCAACCCCTAGAGTTAGCCACCACACCTTGGACTGATATCTCAATGGATTTCGTAGTAGAAATGCCTAAGGAGAAATCAGGATTCCGCAACGTATTGGTAGTCGTGGACCGTTTTACGAAGATGGCTCACTTCATTCCAATGACGGGAATCAACACGGAACAAACCGCCAACGCATTCGTCAAAGACATCTGGCGTTTCCACGGACTTCCTAGGAGCATCGTCTCAGACAGAGGAACGCAGTTCGTGTCAGCATTCTGGGCGGCAATTACGGACAGACTGGGGATTCGTAGAAGACTCTCCACCTCATTCCACCCCCAAACCGACGGCCAAACAGAGCGGACCAACCAATACATGGAAGGTTATATTCGGGCATATACGGCAGGAACAGGCAAGAAATGGAAGGACCTGTTACCTATCTGTGAATACGCCTACAACAATGCGAAGCATACGTCGACGGGGCAATCGCCGTTCTACTGCAATTATGGCTTCCACCCTCGAACGGACTGGCCTACGGATGCAGAGATCGAACGATTAGACGCCAACGGGAACAACTACTTGGATGAGATCATTACGGCTCATGAGTTAGCGAGAGATACGCTACAGAAGACCTTTGATAGGATGGCGTCAAAGCCAGGACCGGCAGTACAGCGGTTCACTATCGGTCAGAAAGTCTTGCTGGATACTCGGAACCTTGGAGGGTACTCCAAGTGGTCAGACAAGTTTACAGGGCCATTCACAGTGTCGGCAGTGGTGGGCAATCGGGCTTACCGCCTGGAGCTTCCAGTAGAATGGAAGGTTCATGATGTCTTTCACGAGATGTTGCTGCGACCCTATCGTGAGGACCCAGACCCCACCCGAAAACAGAATACACGAAAGCGACTGGCAACACCCGAGCCACAGGAGGCATTGGCAGACAAGAACTTCCAGCCAACCTCGAACATACGACCCCATACGCGAAGTCAAGACCCAGCGATCGATAATGACCGGGCTCATAAACGACAACGGAACAGGCGAGACTAAGCTCGATACCTTTCCCTACTCTACGACTTTTCCCACAGTGTTTTTTATCATAGAAAGGGTTTTAACGGTCGAGGGCGACGTCTAGGAAGGGGGAGTAGTGTTACAGGAACTACGGAAGCACTGTTCTACAGGCTTAGGACAGTGAGAAATACGAGTGACGGGTTGTGATGCAAGGCCGGTCGGGTAACGGAAGGGCAAGCATAGAAAGGTATCGGGTAGTGTGGGGGCACGCGGTGTCACCACGCTAGGCCATACTATTATGACGGCACGCTTACTGTTGGGTGTCTCACCCAAAATAGAATAGTAAGCGGGGCTTACGGCTGTAGGCTGCTCTACTTAGAGAAGTAGGTCTAGGATAATAGTATGGTACAACCCGATGACTGGCAATTGCAAGGTTCATGGTTACGCGTCGGAATTAGAATGGAGGACGGGACTATGCGGGGGCGCTTTTCTATCTGGGTTATCTTCGGGAGCGTTATCCTATTCTATTATCGTTGTATCAGTTAGTATTAGAAAGCGGGCCTTGGCATAGGTTCCAACATGTATAAATAGGGCTTGATTCTGCGAAGACTTGAGGGTATCATCAACCATCAAGTCAAGGGAATCCGGTTTACAATATCATCAGTTTAAACGCTACAGAATTATCGCTTAGCACTGGCCATTTCCCCAAACACCAAGATCGAGTGATATCCTGTGATTAACCTATGATGTAGGTCGTCGAGTGATATTCTCTGATTGAATCTCGAGTGATACTATGTGTCTCAGACCACTGGGAGCTCTCCTATTTATAGGAGAGCTCCATTGAGAATGAGAATGGGAAACTAATGCTGAGCTTAGAGGCCCTGGTACAAATGGGGCGGCCCGTGCCCGGGCCTCGAATATTTATATAGGTCAGAAGCTAAAGTTAGGCTAGATTATGATTTTATTCTACTATTATGGGAGTGTAAGAATCTCGACTAGCTACCTTGATCTTTGGGCAATGAGTACAAATGAGGTATATATCCGCACGAGCGATGGAGCAGCCCGTCCATGGCTCGAGCTACTGAACTAATAACCATCGTATCCCTGCTTTTCTACTGACATTGTACTTCTGAGCTCCTTGTCTTGCTCACCAGAAATGAAGGTATATATCACCTACACATATATGGGTATAGGATACTAGTGATACATTATCTTTATTAAGTTTTCACATTCGCTCTTGATACCACACCATATAATTCAGCGCAAAAGATCCAAAGGTTTATAAAATTCAGAAGTGAAAAAGATCCAAATAAGACTTCATGAACTCAGATATTGCTATACTCTTATTGTCAAACTCAGAAAATACAGAAAATACAGGGAAAAAAAAAGGAATGACAACCGATCGTTACATGTAATTCATACTTATATTTACAATCTCGAAATCCCGTCAAATTGCAACGCTCTAGCCTCTTCAACCCCAGCCTGCACATTCCACATGTATCTAGGACTTCAGGTCCGGCACCACTGGTGGTTGTGGTGGTGATTCAGGTCGATATACCTGTAGAATATGCGGCTTGGGGTCGTCATCAGCCGGGCCTGTGCCAGCACTCGGGCCTGTGATATCATCCTTCGGCTTCGGCACCAACTGAACACGCAGTGGCGTATTAATATTAAGTGAAGCCGGCGCCGGCACCCCTTTTTCCAGGTCTTCTCTCGCTTTCCTCCTCTTATCCTTCGCCTCAAATACGTCCTTCGTATCCAACAGCAATGCATCCGCTGCAAAGCTCCGTTCCCGACTGTCCTTCGACCTAACATCCCAGATACGCTCAAAATACCATAAAAGAATTCCCGAAACCGTTACGAGTAACTGGAGTCCCACCCACATCCACACCCTCCAGTAGGTCACCACTCCCTGTAGTAGATCGATTCTCTGTGTCGCGCCGGCACCTAAAAGCTCGTTTCGTGCTCTCTCCCCGCCGTTTTCTCCAAAGTTGTATTGCAAGGAATTCCAGCATGCCACGTAGGACCGCTGCATGGCCAGAATTAAGGACGATGTGTGATTTGATACGTTTTGATCCAGGTCGCCCAAGGCCATGCTATGCATCACGTCATTCATTAAAAATATTGCTTCATTGGTAAACTCGTTCGCAACGATAGGGGCGTCATTACTGCCTTGCACGACCCCCGGAGAAATGACCTTCGCCTGCGATGAGGTTACTCCCCCAGAGAAGCTGACTCTGGCATAGGTATAGCAACCGCTTTTTGCTACTCCGTCATACTGGAAGACAGCGCTTTTGGCTCCGGTTTGTTTTTCAACGTACATCGTTGGGCAGGTCTGGTTCTTGAGCACGGTTTTAAAGAGAAACGCAACTAGACGTGGTTCGTTGAAAATCATAGGAGTTGGGTAGGAGCCCCGATACGTTGCGCTCCCATTCCACTGGGGAAGATCCAGCATTCCAACATTACCGGTAACTGGATGAGTAATTGTATTCTCCTTTGGCTCTGGAAGGGCTCCACGGTAAGGACGTTGGAATGTACTCATAATTTGCTCGGATGGGGGGTTCTGCTCCCACACTATCGAATCGAATCGTAAACAAGGTATCGTGATATTATTCACCGTCGAGCTGTCCTTCAACTGTTTATCTGAGATTTGTCTCCGGCATGCAGTGTTTACATCGCTTAGGGCCTCATGATACAACGACCACGTGAAGGATAGTGCCTCGCTCATGACCTCCTCGCGAATGTCTTCGTCTTCAATATATTCCCTCCAGATCATTGGGTCCCCTCCCGAGGACGGAAATACCTGGAGATCCCTGGGCGAGTGAATGAAACCAATAGATTGCTTCCAACTGATAGAACCAGAAACCAATGGACCCGAGAGTTGAGCAGGTAGTAGAAGCAACAGTAGGATGAGCGTCGTCCATGAGTATTTTTCGCGTGGAACAACCCCCACTTTATAGGATACTATGAACTTGATTTCTGAGAAGGTAAGAGACTTCTTTTCGAGCATGATGCAGGCACACCTCCAGGCCGCGATTCCTGCCCACGATCCCGTTGCGAGTTTGATGAAAACAAGGCCTGTTGAAACGATGGTCGTGATGTCACCGGGGAGGATCCAGTCTCTAACGCTAAAGGTGGCTAGTACCTTAGTGTTGATATCATCGCCGAAGACAAATACCTGCCGGCTTGTTGTTGAACGGTCATTAACTGCATTCACCCTCAGGTCTGGAATCCAAACGAGAATGCAGGTTGCGAGAAGAGCAACAAAGACCAAGTGGATTATGAGAATACCCCACGATTGGAGGAAGTCTGTCAATGGTTTGAAACTTCTGAGGAAGGTCGTGGCAATGGAGGTCTCTCCCAGGACAAGCCCTAACACGCCGCTTCTAGCTCTCTGCTCTGTGCCTTTGCTCCTCGGTGATTCCTGTGTGGTAGGCTGCAGTTTGTCGTCCCCGGCAGAGGTATTCATGACGTGGATCGATTTCTATCTTGCTCTATAACTGATGAAATGGTTTATAGATCAAATATTGTGGTGCATACGGAAGTATCATGAGAAACGTGACTGCGTTCGTTATATATCACAGCCAGCGTTGAAGCGTGAGTCCCCAAGGAAAGGAAAGGGGCCAACACTACGAACACTCATTAAATGGGGTAACAGAATTTGAACACCATTCACACTCACTCACCTATCCTGCCATAGTTTCGCCTTGGCACCCCAAAGTTAACGATTAGAGTAGGACCCCGGCCCCGCCCTGCTCAGCGAGAATCGAGATCCCTCCTCAGCAGGATTCAAATACAAATATTTCTTGGCTGCATGTGGCGAACACTAAGTCTCGGTCAGTAGGGATCTCGCTGACCAGGGAAACGGAGTATTGGCTTCAAAACCCTGACCGCCATCAGCCAGGACCCGCATTAAACCTGCGCGCATGTCACCACGGGTAAGGTAGCTCCCTCCATTCGGGTCGAATCCCAGATGCCGTGGTTGTTTTGTTCCAAAACGAACGCCTGCCTAGGTACCATTCACGGGCACGCCGACTCACACACTGCGCATACATCATGCGCAGCGAACACAAATCGGACTGAAGATCCATCTGTCGATGCTCTGCAGCGACTGTCTAACAAGAAAGACAGGCTGAGTCTCAGACCTGGTGTTAAAGCAGACCTGCTGGCATTGCCGGAGCCTATCACCTCGTGTTAATGGCTATGGCACCTGCCTATGTTTACGTTCTATATATTACGTTCCTGGCATTCTCTAGAAATTGGCTATATAGTATTAACTATGCATGCGAGATCAAAGCTACATTTAACGGAAACTTCCGATGACGGTTGTGGGGCCTTTAAAAGGTAGTTTCTGATTTGATGTGTCGAGCTTTTGTAGTTGGGCGGCTATGTATCTGCTAACTAGGCGCTCTTGAAGCTAATCTCGCAGTCGGAAATATTATCATATCCCGCCGTCCCCACCCTTCGGACCACCCTCCCCAGTCATAACTGAAAATAGACGGTTTCCCTAGCTACCCGAACAACCCCCTCACCCGAACAGTCAACGTCAAAAAGAAAGGATCCGACCGGTTTCTATACAATCATACTCAACTGTTCGGGTGAGGGGGTGTTCGGGTGGCTAGGGAAGTCGGGACCTATTGTGGCCCTTGATATCGGGAGGGCTTATATTAATGGTCCATGTGTTGATCAACCTAGCTATGGGAGGAGTCTACCCAGGGCCAAAATGACCACATTTACTATATCGATTGAGCATAGCCTAATCGCAGGATTATCACTAATCTGAGCTAGAAACCCAGTTGCGGCACATTCTTCATCTCGCTAAATAGCCACTCAACTACCTAGTTCTGTTGAGATAGTAAAACATGGACCACGTGTGGAGTTTTAACCTACACGGAAATCTTGGAGGACGATCATTACCGATTGGGCCCTGCATATGCGCCAACATTTAAGCTTATTTGCTCCGCCGCTAAATTTCATCACTAATCTCGAATAATCCCTACTCAGCTCACCATGCACTCCTTCTCTATTCTACCTACCTATCATCCAGGGTTTTCTAACCAAAATATCCCTTACTGCCGAAGAATGGTCTCCCCATACCGCATCGTTTGGGATCCGAGTGATGCCTTGTGACGAAGTGTTTCGGTTGGAGTTGCGGTATTTGCAATGGTATTGTGGGGTGACAAAAGTTCTCGTGATTTTTTACGTGGATGTATCATGAAACGACTCTAATTCCACGACTACAAAAGATATTCAGGAGACAGCTACGCGACTCGAGAGCTTAAGATTGATAGGAACATACCTCTTAGGTATAATTCCAATTACCGACTTTGTAGATTGGTCTTTTGGAAATTCCCCTGCTGGTTGCTATGCGAAAATCACGAGAACTTTTGTCACCCCACAATACATATCTTTTTACCGAGAGACACTCTTATCTTCACCTATCATTGCTAGAGAGTCACGGCCAGGCTTACTGTATCTGTGAGTAATCAACTCAATGGGTCTAATACCATTGTGAAATTTCGTTCATTAGAATAACGATCGTCACCGCAGGAAAAGAGTAGAAAGAGATTTACCGATTATTGGATAGCATGAAATGGAAAATTTCCCTTTGGACAAGCCACGTCAAACACAACTATAAGTTTTATTAGTGGCGGTAGTGTTGAGAAACGCATGGCTAATCCTTCTCTACCAAGCATAGCGCTGTACGTGTCGGAGATTATTATTTAGGGCATTGCCTGAGTCGACCGGACTGAACGGGGTTGGTAGGGAATTCCGTTCCCACCGGCACGGAGGCGTTTCCTTTCGGGGTTATGGTCGCGACTTCCAATTAACCGGGTTGATAGCGAGGTAGTCACTCAAGACCGCTATGCAGGCAAAGAAGTATGACACGTATCAGTAATGCGATGTTATTTCCATGATGAGGAAAAAGTCTTGCTCGACCAGTTGATCATAGCAGGTTCACTATGGAAAACAAACTATGGAAATGATGGGAATGTGGGAATGTGATAAATGCGATAGGTGGAAAGGTCAAACTTTATTTCTTCTGCCAATAGTGGGCGGATTAGCAATATGATGCATACATATATCTTGCCTACTCTACTGATATTCGTATACCCAGAGTAGGTATTTGGATGTAGGTCACTCTATCACCTAGAGACATGATTCCCCAGAAAGTAATTCAAGCGGGACTCCGAAATTGATCACATGTATTGAAAAGATTTGATTTTACGTAATCTGAAAGCCGGAATAGTGATATAGGATGTCACTCTAAATAACAAGCGCCTAGGTCTAGAACTTCTATTTTCCTGGTCATTACCTGAAAAGGTAGCTACTCACCGTCTTTACTACAATACTAATATTGCTTTACGGGAAGGCCCGATGGACTCCCCACAAATACAGAGCTAAATAAAATATCATTACACCACCTAGTGTAGAGTAATCGAGGTTTGTTTTCTTCTGGTCTTGACTGGTGGGGGGATGTGGAATCACACAAATGCGCTTACTCGCGAAGTATGTAGGGAAACACCGTATGTCCATGCATGCCATCAAAGTAATGACTACTCTACACTAAGCAAGATATTAAGGTCGCAAAAGAAAAGAGCCACTCTATGATATATATCGTCCGACGCGCTACCAGAAGAAGCTTGAATCATTCTGCCCACCTGCTCATGTGCTGATCATGAGTCGCTCCGGCAGAGCTAGAGATAAAGCTACATCTAATAAGTATATAATTATAACCTGCATATGCAATGTGCTTTTATAGTCTTCTGATTGGTTCATTGAGAGCTGTTTTTGTTTCACTTGAAACATGTTGTGTTGGATATTAACATAGGGTATTGTGCTGAGTGTTGCCAGAGTGTTAATAAGGTTTCTACTGGTTCTGGGAATCAGTTAGTAGTTCGATTTTAGCAGCTTGGTGGCTGCTAAAGGGATATACCTGTAGTTTTAACTGGAGAAATTGTCTGACCTATCCGTTGATATATCGGGGATATCAGAAAAGGCACATATTGACCAGAGCAGATCTAGATATAGTGATGGACGTTGCCTGCCAGGAGGGGTCGAGGGCCGCGCAGCGGCCTGAGAGCCCCGACTGACAGGCAAAAGAGAAATAAGCCGCAAAGCGGCTTGCCTGTATATTGGACTGATTGATATACATATAGTACCGGCCGAAGGCTGGAAACTCCTTGTATGTATATACGTATCTATTCCTTCAGATTCAGTAGCCTCAAAGTACTGCGACGGGTATAGTATAAATTAATGAGGATCGGACATTATTTACATCCTCGCTGTTATGGAAACTTTCTATGATGATTGAAGCGAATCTTAATATAAGAATGCAGTCTTTCGGGATATATCGATGGTTTAACTCGGGAAAGGATGTAAAATATGCCAAGGTGTCGTCAGGCCTAGTATCTAAAACCTAGCCTTACTGATAGGATTGAATGGGCCCAATAACAGACATCGCGTGTTTAAGACACATGCACGTGGTTGAAATATTTGAGACTTTGGCAACACCAACCAGAAATGTCGGCAAACTTTATGTAGCTTTATTAACGTGCGGGGATGTCAGGTACGCACTAGAGTACATGTATTGTACATATGTATGAGTGGTTTCGGAAGTGGGACAACATGAAGCTTTTATAGGCTAGGTCACTATCGACTGATAATGTGAGATCTAATAGGCTTAGTTAAGTTGTATTATTAGAACGTACTATTTACATTACTTCTGGCTGGATCAGAACGTATTAAAGAGTTTTTAAGTAGTGTACTAATAAGATTATCTGTTCCAAATCTTGTATGTCTTTCTATAATATAGGGCCACACAGTGGTCGTTTTGTGTACCTATTCTGCCAATGGTGTAGGCCCACGATCAAGAAGGTAGGTTCAACCAACTGAAGGCTGGCAGTAACGTTTTAATTTATATGGACTCCAACTTGTGGACGAGCTGGGGAACTAATTATATGTAACCTGATCGTTCCCACCTTTAATTGCGATTTCGTATAAGCGTGATAAAGTGAGCGGAAACTACGTCGATCTGTCTTGTCAGATTGTAAATTATTATCAGTTTTGCCAGTTTGTCTATCTCGTAAAATTGACATTCCTAATTGACCTTCTCAAGACAAGATGAAAGACGTCTTCTAATGAAATTCCGTAAAAACAACCACCAAATGAAGTATACAATATTGCAACAAAGTATATATATCTCCCTTGGTTAGGTTTATATCTTCCGGAAATTGAGCTTACCAAAGGCCGGCTATCGATGAACATTCCCAACTCCAACCCTACAAAATATCCATGGTAACTGCATCTACTCTTATACTGCCTCCGACCCCGGATAAAGTACACTCCGCATACATCTTGATAACAGCACTCGTAACACCCGGAGGAGCGACATAAACGTCTACATGTGCAGCAAACGCTTGCGTATCGGCGGTAAAAGTGCTTGACCCTCCTTGGTTTCCAATGAGGTAGGTAACCGTACAAACGCCCCCGTTCGCTGCAGTCCATGCTGCGAAGCGATATTTAACACCGGGGCAAACTGTAATGGTTTGGAGAAGAGCAACATTCCAGTTGGGTAGAATGCCTTCAGCTCGGCTAGAGCCAAAATCGGTCATGTCAGTGCTATGTACTAGTAGATGTAGGTTTATAGGCACTTACAACTGGCGCGCGCCATTGCGGGAGTGTTCATTCTTGAACCCGGTTACAGTAGTGTTAAGGCCATAGGTTGACTCCGAGGTCTAAGCAGTGTTGTCGTTAAAATTACCATTAGCAAGTGGTTGAGTGACAGTGCAGGTTGAGGGACGACTTCCTAGTGTTAGAATATATATTTTGAGCTAAAGCGGGAGAAAATACCAAGTAGTTGGTATTGCGGCAGTTACGGTTGTCTTAACAGTTGTCGCCTGTGCAAGAATGGTGCATTAAATGCAACTGCTGCCAGAAAAATAGAAAGCTTCATCGTTTTTGCCGTAGGTAAATATAAGGACTCTTAACAGTATGTAGTTGAGGCGGGGATAGGCTTTGGGATAAATACCGGTCTATTTATTCTTTTCAATTGAGGAAGAAATGTCAGTACTTAAGATAAGTCAGTTTTCAGGGCTTAACGAGATAGAATTAAGGTTGGTATAATTAGCAAGCTGAATATAATCTTTTAGCTCGATAACTCTAGTGTGTGATAAGGCAACAAATTCTTTCTCGATATGTACCACGAGGACGCGGTATATACCGGAAGAAATATGTTGGTTTGTATGACAGGCTTCCCTGAAACTTCAACAACGTGGTGCTGTCTATGTCAGCCCCGATAGTATGGTTATCTTTTAGAAGTTACTTCTAATATGTGTGCAGCTAGAACATTTAAGCAGTGCAGTTCTCTCTCATGAATGTAGACGTAACATATCACTCAATGAGGTGAATGCCGCACCAGATGTCGAGGCAGATCGAGTGGTCGATATGCTACATGAACCGCGTTAACTAGCCACAATTTGTGCATGGTGTGGCGGGTCTTACTTTTATGTGGTAGGTGGAAATGATCAGATATTATGACAGCCGGAAAGAACCAACCAACCGCAGCTTGCAGTAAGCCATTCAGCCCTATTCGAAAGTGGATCTTACATCTTGCTTGCCCTAGGTGTGTGGTCCTAGATATGTGGTGTGGTCTTACACCAGCTGTGCAAATAATTCTTCGCCACCGCTTTTAGTGTTATGTATTTACCATATATTAACTCCACTGAGATCCTACATCTGAGATACTATACCACTTCCAACAGTCAATTATACGATCTCCATCAGTCCAGTTGAGTCCCATCTCCATTAAACCAGAGGGCCCGTTCGGCAGCAGGGCAAATCGGAGTTTTCAAGGGTTAATGCCTAGACTCCGCTGAAGCTGCGACACCGTGGTATTCGGTGCCGCGCGGTTTTCTGGCCAGGGCTATCACTAGCGCTGGCGAATTCGTTGTTCGGTGGTGTGTGAGGTGAGGGGGAAATATTTACTTAATATTGCCATAGGTACTCTTGCCTTGCATATCTTGTGATTGTAGAAACATAATGATTCTGGCGAAGTGCAGCCATAGGCTCGGTGAACTCCGAGAGGTCATTCTTTAAACAGGGGTATCTGAGAACTTCGATATGCTTGAAGCGGACCTTACTCGAGTAGAGTGCCTAGCTGTGACCAATCGCCGAAGCTTTCCAATGGATATATGCGTATCACGCACGGCTGGGTGTCCAGTTATAGAAAAGTAGTCATACATCCATTAGTTATACGCACACCAGAAACAGGTTCTAGATCTATGTACATACGCAGACTTTCTTAGCTTGATCCTGTAGCAGGCGGTTGCGCAGCTGTAGGGCAATAGGCAACTCACCATGATATCTTGCTATCGAGAATGGGGAAATAAAAGACATGTTTATTGTGATACTTTTCTCGGCGATGAACTGAACTGGGCTCCAATGGTGGTATAATAACACAGTGAAAGGCGTTTCCGAACACGATAGAGTCTGTGTATAGGCCGAATCATGCAAAACGCACCTCGTTTTGGCGGCATGCACGCCTGGTCTGTTCGGGAGCGTCACGAATTAAATCGGGAGTACATAGAGAGGCCTGGAGGCGCCTGTTTCGTATGAAAAGATGTAGCGAAGGCGAAGGGCTAGTGGAGGTGCGGTCAGAACATGCAGATCAGCTCAATACATTGATCAAAGGATCAAGGCTGTTCGAGTTCTATAAAGTGTCAGTGTTTCGCCTTCCACTGTTTAGCTAGGGGGAGGGGGGGAAGGGGGGAAGGGAGAAAGGGAAGGGAGAAAGGGAAGGGAGAAAGGGAAGGGAGAAAGGGAAGGGAGAAAGGGAAGGGAGAAAGGGAAGGTAGGATTGACGTTATCCCTTAACAGAGTCCTCACATGAGGCTGGGTGTAGTTTACATTTCTAGCGTCAAACCTTATTTAGGAATGATGTACTAATCATAGGGTATCACTCGGATGTCGGGATGCTGAAATTTCGGTCAATCGCTGGAGGACTACGATAGTCGGCTGCAGCTAAACATCGAAATGGAAAGAATTTCTACAACTGAGTGATAAGCTGTAGTAAGACTCTATGTAATTAATCATTTTAATCTCGTTGCATGTGGGTAGTATATTTGTCGGAAGATACACTCATAATCGCTGGCTGTCTAGAGCTAAGCCTTGGGGAATTGGGTCATAGAAACGCTGTTCCAAGATCGCGGTCTTTGGGTTGCAGTTCGCCTGATATAGTTTCAAGAGATGTGCAACGCAATCAGTTTGAAGGAAGGGTAGGGAACTAGTGCCAACAAATATGAGAAATGGCTTCAAAGGCCATGTATATTTTATTTTTACTCTTTTAATCAAAATTCAGACATTTTTTAATCATAGTCCATGCAATCATACAATTCCAGGAACCTTGATATTAGCTCCAAAATCAATCCATACTCTTAGTAATTAAACACAAAAACGTATCGCTAAAACACACACCAAACATGCCAAAATAACCCAAAAATAACCTAACATGCATTATCACCTCGCGGTGGGTAAGTCTTCACCAATTTGTCCTCCTTCTCCCTCCTCTTATTCTGAATCTTCTTTCTATGCAGCAGCGTTTTCACAAAATTCCACCAAAACAGGACAAAAAACAGCGCCAACGCCGTCCCCGTCCCCACCACCGGAATGATAATCGACACCACCCCAAACACATAACTGACCTCCTCGAACAACCCATGACTCGCCGCCTGTCCCTGCCCCGTCGCCAGCACCACCTGCATCCCCGTCAGGATGATGGTCAAAAACGCAAACAGACCCACCATCCACCCGAAATTCCGGCGGAAGAAGCTGTTGTACCCGCGGTCGAGACTGTAGAAGCCCCGCACCTGGAACTTGCAGAACCGGTACACGTGGTTGAGGCGTTTGAGGCGCAGCTCGCCGTAGCGGTAGCGCTTGTTGACCATGCAGAAGTCCACGCCCTCGCGGATTTCCTTTGAGAACCGGCACCAACGTACCCAGTCCATATAGTCCGGCAGTAGGCCCTCCTCTATGGCGATGTGGTGGTCGCTGCGGTGCACGATGAGGCGTGAATAACTATATAAAAACCCACACGCCAGCTCATACAGCTCGGATTTCGGGCAGATCTTGTTCTCGAACCACGCACGGTCGAGAAGGTACTCGGGCAGCGGCTTGAGGAAGATGACGTTCTCGAACCACACCATGTGCAGGTGACACCGCTCCGTGATGACAATCTCGCGGAACATGGCCTTCTGGTGGTGGAGGGGGCGGATGTTGCCCTGGCGCCCCACCCACCAGAGGTGTTTGTGAATGTTGTTGATCCTCTTTTGGGAAAGGTCTTCAAGCATATAGGCGATGTCGGGGTCCGCATCCTTCTCCGTGCGTCTCTTCTCGGAGCTCTCGTAGTGGGGGTCGACTTCGTCTCGTGTGAGCTTGACTCGGTGCCAGGTCGGCTTGGAGGATTGTTTCGCGGGACGTACTCGGGGGGAGGTCGAGTCTGGAGCTGGAAATTTAATTAGTGGGTGCAATGGCATTGGGGGGCGGTGGGGTTGCATACTAGGTGCAAGCGTCTGCCCGTAGTGGTCCATGCTGAAGTTGTCATCTGGGCGGTCATAATGCTGTTGGTGCTGGGGGAGGGTTGGGGACGTTGGGGTCGGCGGAATATCATCGAGTCGGCCTTCATCGACGTAGGTTTCGGTGTAGGGCGGTGCATTTGGCCGATTTAGCGGCATCCTCTTCGAGTCTATCATACGTATACTTCTCTAGGTACCCACTGTACATATACACAGGCAGAAACACAACGAGAGAGAGATTCGAGAAGGAGGAGCTGATCGAGGCTGGAGGTTTAGTCATTCTCAACCCGGGGGGGGCGCCATACTGATATTATAACTATTGCGGATCAACGTTGGCTGAGGGGTGCGCGGATAGATTGTGTAACCACCACAACCGATCAGCTCGCATGCTCTGGCCGGTCTGGTCGGGCAGACGTGCAGGGAAGGGATTGGCGCTTGTGGTGCCACCCAATGGGTAGACGCGCGCATGTGCAGAGGAGGTTTCGTGGCAGTCGTCACTAGGAGTGGTGGAGGTTATGAAACCTGCGAGTGGTGATTGTGGGAAGAGAGAGGGGGAGGCGCAATTGCCCGCCTACGCTAAGTTATTTCGAGCGTCGAGGTCAATTAGTTTAGGAAAATCGATTCTCCACAAGGCTTTAAGCTCTGGGCTTGGCGGTATTGTAGAGTCCCTAGGGCCGGCCTTGGCTGTGTGGCATTAATTCCCGCTCCACGTTTTCAGGCTGTTGACTCGAGATCTCTGATCAATCCAGAATCTGGAAGCTAGCTCTAGTGCTCTAACTGCTCGGATGCAGAAACATGAGAGTGATGGTGAGTAGATTAAGTGGGAATTTTATAGGCTCTGAGTCCTGTATTGTGTTAAAACTTAAAACGCATACAAGTACTCATTCAAACAACGGGTATGTAGCACAGCCCGTTTCTCGGAAGTAAAAGCGGGAGGGTGTGTGAAGAATTAAAGCTGCAGAGCCTCAAGTCGACACCTACACAAGCTCTCAATACACCCAGCTGCGCATTATCGAGAAACGAGACGAGATCGGTTCGTCTACTCCCGTCCAAACACCAACGGTTCAACATCACCAGTAGCCAGCGTTGTCTGTCATCGTCTGCACCCCGTCCTCCGTTTCATATCCGAGTACAGGCAGTGGCTTTCGAAGTTTCCTGCACCCCGCAGTTTAGGCATTCCACTCTACTCTACCATATACCTTGAGGCACAATCAGTAAGTAGCGTACGTATGTACTCCCGCACGTGCTCTGCTCAATTACTCAACTAGAAGGTCAGGCAGATCTGCAGTGGCCTTCGACTTGAATCCTGCATATTATCCCCACCTTGAAGATGGAATAGGTAATCAAATCCCTCGTCGTACCGTACTCTAGAATGGAGACCAGACAAAGCAGAGAGCTATTACAATAACCCGCTTTGGGCACAATTACTTTCAATCTACTACCAGCCAGCCAGCCTTCTTTTTTTCGTTTTCCCTCCCCCGTTTTTTTCTTCTTTTCTTCCCACCTATTTTGCCAGCTACGTCTTTGAAGTGGGAGTGACCAAAAACCAAAATAGAGTACAAAATGTTACAGCCTTACGGAGAATCCTGGCGACGGGCTGTGGTAACGAGCCGGGAAGTTGCAGATTAGAGCCTTGGCGGCCTTGATAGGTTAGAGCCACGTGGGAAGGTGTCTCACAGTCGAGTTGGGAGTGAAAGGCAGACTTGATATCACGGCTTCACATAGGTACGACACTCTTGATGTTCTTGTTCCAAAAATCTGTAAAATTACCACCTCACAAACCACTCCCCTCCAAAGTAACTAAATAACTAATAATACACAGACACACACGCTTAGAACAACTCTATCGAGTCATAGATAAAGTTGGGGTTCAAGTAAGTATCACCCGAGCTTCCACTCGCGCAGCTGATCTGGATAGTGTTGACACCAGCAATCAAGTTGGACGTCGAAATCGGGAACGAATAAACCTCTCCATATCCTCTGTACGCACCGCGCGTGAAACCACGGCTGTCAATCTTTGTCGGCGCCGCAGGTGTCGCCGCCGTGTAGCTGTTGAAAACAACGCTAGGTCTACCACCGGCGAATGAAAGTGTGGTGTAGATCTTGAGTGTTCTGGCCGCGGCAGCTTGCGCGGCGGTCAGGGTCACTGTAATGGTGGTGGGGTCATTCACGGTCTTGATCTGGGCCATGGGGAAGTCAGCGGTGCTGCTAGTGCCCCATGCGAAGGTAACGGGTGACCACGAGGACATGCGGGAGTCAGACGGGTGCATGACGAGCTGGTTAGCGGCGTTCTTGAAGCCCGTAGGACGGCCGTCGACGGCGCCGATGCGGAAGACGACGGACGCGGTGCCAGCAGTGGCGGTGATGGACTTGCTCGTGGTGGACCCAGCGGTGACTGTAACAGTGGTAGACGCAACCTGGTATTCGCCGCTGTACAGGATCATGTCATAGGTACCTGGCTTCATGGCGGGCGAGGTGAATGAGCCAGTGCTGGACACCCAGTACTGCGCAGCAGAGTTCTTCCAGTGGACGACACCGTCGGAGGTGACACCAGAGACAGTACCGGAAACGTACCCGCGGCTGCTGACGGGGACGAAGCCGGTGATGGAGAGGGAGCTGAAAAAGCTGAAGTCAAGGGTGGATGACGCTGTAGAACCACTGGTGAAGACAAGCCCGTACGGACCGTGCAGACCCATGCGGTACGCCTCGGTCTGGACGTGTCCCGAGTTCATGTAGAAGTAAAGTTCCTGCTGGGCGGATCCCTGGTTGTCGATATCGCGGAAGAAGGGACCGCCGGACGCGCTCTCATATGAGTATCCGGGGATGACCATGCAGGCGGCGACGCTGGAGCCGGTGACACAGTGGACTTGGTCCTCGATGAAGCGCTTGCTGGAGTAGAACTTTGAGCGGGTCTGGCCATCGACGAGGAAGACGTCAGAACCTTCGACGACAGTGCCGCCCTCGACATCGGAGGCGGTGACACCGTTGGGGAGAGCGGACTTCTTGAGGCGGGCGATGAAACGGAGCTCGCCGACGGTGGGTTCCGCGGTGATGTAGGTGGCCATATAGACGATTGGATCGCCAGACTGGGGGGGGGGGGGAATGTTAGCTGTGTGTGTCTATATCACCAGTGTCAATGATAAAATAGAGTGCGTACCTTGGCAATGTAGTACTGGATCAAGGTGTCAGTGGTGACAGTGATCTTGATGTAGCTTCCCGAGGTAGTAGCCACGACATTACTGCTGCCCAGACCAGAGCTGATGTGCGAGAACTTTGACGAGTCCTGGCACTCAACGCCGTTGTAGACGAGCGAGATGATGTCACCAGTGCTCTTGTTGACCTTGAACACAAGCCCGCCGTTGGTGTCCACCGTGAGCTGGGTTCCTGAGTCTGTCACACCAAAGGCCGCGAGGGCGGAGGTGCAGAAGAGCGCGGCGGCGCCGAAAAGCGATTTGAGAAGCATGGTGTTCCTGTACTAGCTAATGAGTGAATGAATGAATGGAGGGCGCAGTGGTAGCGCGGAGGTCGGTGGTGTGCGGTCGAGGCAATGGGGGATCGGAATTGGGGGGGGGGTTTCATGGTGTTCTTATACACAGCTGTCGTGGTGCTGATGATGTTCGTCTGGATGTTCGTCTAGATGCCAGCTCGGAAGACATGGTGCGAGATGGTGCGTGTCCGGGGGGGGGGGTTGATGAAGGGCCGTCAGTCCTATTCCTCCCCTGATCCTTGGTGCGCCGTGATATATCCTTAACAGGCCAGGAGAAGCACTATGTGCAGTACCAGTGGGCACATAGCTAGTAGTAGTAGTAGCTGCTGTTGGCATAGTAGGGTATCAAGGGTACGCTGCTCGGAGCGGAAACATCTGCAGGAACAATTACACAATGCAGTGGAAAGAATCCCGGTCCCTCCACACCCCCTCGGTGCCAATTGAACCTGCAGTGGGCGGCACTGCTTACCGTGTTCCGAGACTGTGGGGAGTGCAGGGGTGTAGGGCGGTGGCTTTTGTGGGGAATTATCACGGGTTCGGTATTGCGGATGTTTGCACGAGGGAGTCGATCATTATTCCTCAGGGCGCAGAGGGTGAGTATGCTGTTGATAGATGAAGTAGCATTGGCAAACAATCGATCGTGTGTGTCTGTGTGATTGTATGTACGGCGTTGAGGCCGTTGAGGCCGTTGAGAAAAAGTCTTGGGAGTATCACCTATAGTGCACCCCTAACCCTCAGACAACAAATGCTATGTCAACTAAGCTTACAATTAGCTCAACTCTACCTCTAACATGGCCGAGAGCCCTGCAATTAATCTCTTCTACGTACATGTAGTTTTCGCTTCCCCATCCCCTCCCCTATTTCTCTTTCTATGCACTCCCCCGCCGGTTCTAAATACTCCGAGGCCCAGCCTTCGCGACTCGCCAAGATTCCGCCCGAACGCACGGCTGCAGCTTCCGGGGCGGGGGTGAGTGCGTGGGCACTGGGATCCATGGTAGAAGTGGTAAAAAGAAGTTGGATCGTCCCTGGCGAGTTGCTGAGCCCCTGACTCGCTGACGGATGGTGCGGATTGGAAAGCTTGGTACTAGCAGAGTTGCTGTGGGGATTGATGGAACCCTGGGAACTCTGCAGGCTAAATATGTTCAATACGGGTATGTACTGCAACAGGACGCACGCAGCGCGAGAATAGTTACATGTATGTAGAGATATACCTATGGCTGCCTAGCAGGCAGGGTATTCGAGCCGACATACTGCTCCTGGGAGTTGGGTCGCTAGATCGGGTGGCTTCATAGACTGTCACTCGACAGTGTTTTCCCAGTTAGCTGAAAGGCCCCGTTGAGGCGCGTGTATAGGTAGCCTTCGACCGGGGGCTCTCCAGTTCATGTGGCTACTCACAGTAACAGTCCCAAATCTATATGCTGATCTCGATACGCCGGACCCTTTGCTGTCCCGTACGCACAACCAATTTGATATCCCGGATTTTATCGTGGCAATCTGGCATATCGAGTTGCGACTGTATATGGGTGTCGTTCTAGGAAACCGTCCGCACAGCCAAATCCTTATTCCGAAGCTAGAACCACACAACCAATAAGCTCCAAATTTTCCTAAAGCACAGAGAACCTTGGTAAGAGCCCGGAATTAATTTTTCGGTCATTGGTTCCATCAATTGGAGCCTGTGGAGTGCCGTAGCCAACTGGTGAGGCCCTGTTTGCTAGATCGACACCCATATGTACCCAGGGGTCCCGATAAGTGATGCAACGTTTGACTTAGCAACACTGAAAGGCACCAAGATTTCAATATTTTAATACAAAACAACCTAGATAGTTTGATAATACACATGATAAATGAGTCTTAAGGATAGAATCCGCGTCTTTTCAAATCATTAATTTGGGATTTTTAGCCTATAAAAGGGCAACTTCTGACAAACAACAGCGATAAAAAAACATGCAGCAGCTATTCATGATAAGCCTTACGAAAACTATGATCTTCACCTTCTAAAGTATCATAAATTCACTTCGTATCTTGTTGGCTAGTTTCGTTGAACAATAGGAATTATATGATCGTTGCATCACTTATCGGGACCCCTGGGTACAATACATGTAGTTCTGGTAGTGTATGCAAAAGGTGAGTATGAAGAAGTGAATTTCCTTCATCAGCAAAAAATGGGGTATATTGACTAGGACAAGGTTTCCGTGCGATTCCCATAATATTAGTCTATCTATCTACCAACCTAATTCCTAATTCTATATACGTATTAGCTAGCGCCCTACCTACCTCCGCGCGCTGCCTGCCTACCTCCGCGCCTGCCTGCCTACCTACCTGCCTACCCGCCTACCTCCACGCTTACATGCCAACTAGGTGCTTATTTGACCTCGGTTTGGTGTACCGCCAGTCGTAGATTTGGCGTGGATTTGGGCGTCGATTTGGTGCAATTAATTCACGATTCGGCGGCGATTTGGTGCTGACTTGGTGCTGATTTGGCGGCGATTTAGTGCAATTAGTCGACGATTTGGTCCCAATTTCCTGTCGATTTGGGCGTAGATTTGGTTTCAATTTGGGCATCAATTTGATGCTGATTTGGTGTCGGGAGTGTCCAGCGGCGCCAGTACAGGTGTCAAAATACGGTAAATACGTATCCAGGCGTGGATGTAGGTAGGAGATAGGTATCGAGGTGGGTGTCGAGGTGTAGAGAGGTAGGTACATGTAGGCAGGTAGAGAGCAGGTAGGCAATTAGCGCGTCAAATTTGACGTCATTTGCTAGGGAGGTTAGGACTAGCGCCAGGACTTTGGCGGAATATCACAGAGGTATTCGCGATGCGAGGTTTCGGGCGCAAAAGACGAACAACGTTTTTTGCGAAGCGAGATCTTCTGCCACGGTAGATAAATATATTTGTATCGCTTGCAATAAAAAAAAGAGCTAAAAAAATACTAGAACCAATAAGGCTAAGAACTGGCAAAATCAAACCCCCCAAAAATAATGAGGCCAATAAAAACAAATAATGTAAAGTCAATCAAACAAAGACAGTTGGTCCCCTCTACCCCAATTTCCATGAATCTCTCCTCCCAAAATCAGGCTACTTCTTCAATGGTATAGGAATATGCGGTATTGATATCTCCACCAACTCCGGAGGAAGGGTTGTTGAAGTGGTTGTGGATTTGTGTAAGATGGTATGTATTGATGTTTCTGGTTGGAACCTGCAAACTATGAGTTAAGTTGCTTTGGAAAAGAAAAAAACGAGGTTTGGAGTAAATAAAAAGGATATTACTTACTTCCGCATTTTGTGTAAAATATTTGTAGACTTGTATGATGATGGTTAGGAGAGCTAGTAGTACTGCAACCCATGTACCAATAGTTGATAACACATCTATACTGGAGGCTCCAGCGCTTTGTGTTTCTGGAATGTTGGAAGATGAGTTGAAAACTGGAGATTTGAAGAAGGACATTATTAATAGAATAGGAGGTATCGCTCTTGTATTGGTCAGGAACAAAGCAATAGAGTAACAAACAAATAGTATTTGATTGAAATTTGCGGTAATTTGAGCAAATAATAGATGTAAAGGTTTGGAAGACAATAATAATGAGCGGGGGTGTTAGTTGAATTATATATCATGAGATATAGTGGAAAAAAATTAGTAAAAATGCGTAATTCTAATGCAACAAGTAATCACTGGCAGATGACTGTGCCAGATCCTCTTTATTAGCAATATGAAACACAAACCGTATTACTCGTTGATTATTGATATTTGTAGCTAGCGGGTCGAATCCTTGTCAGTTTGAGTCATTTAAAAAAGGAAAATATGAGGGATTTGTTACGTATTAATTTCCAAATGGGTATAACAACCAAATGGAGCAATATAGCCGAAATAATTCCAGTTATTTGTTTTGCTGCTGGGATATAGATAGTATTATTAATCTTTTTGCGCAATGATTGTATCAACTGCCGCAGTGAGCCACTGGCATTATTAATAATTTCTCTAATTTAAATAATATGACGTGTTTTATTTTGAAACTTTTAAGTTTCGATACTTTATTTACCGAATTGATTTATTAACCTATTATAAAATAATAATTAGCCTAAGGCTGTATATCATTCTGCAATATATGTTTGGAACTGTCTACCAGTTGCCTGTATTAGTAATCAAACTTTTGATATTATGTAGCTTGATATCAAATTTTTAATTTTACTCACAACCTCACTGGGCGGCTAAGTGAAGCAACGTGGCGCGGTGAACTGGTCTGAGGTGCGGGAATGACATGTATGCCCGCCGGCCACATATAGGACATCGCTCAAGAGATGTCTTGAACTTCTTGCGTGTTGAAGACGGCCCTGAGTTCTCTCTGTACTTACATAATCGGTTCACAAATGCTTTGCGCAGTTAGCTACATGATAAATTTTCGAGGTCGGCCGTCCGGGCTACAATTAGTGCCCGAATCACATATATACGGTGACTCTCTACGTATACTCTATAATACTATATACGCGCTGACCAAGAACGAAATTGAACTCCAGGTCCCCGAGATTAACGGTTCGATCCTCACTCATCCCTTGCTTGACGCATTTCCAACCGGGTGGACGCCTATGTCTCAACCGAGTGCACTGCCCCCCCGTCTATTACTCACTGCCCCACTCATTCGTCATTCCTCGCCGTATGACACACACTCCCCAAAGCAAGCAAACAAGGCAACGCTGGCCACCACCATCCACCGCCCCCGTGAAATCCTCGCTGACTCGAGATGGGTTAGGGTTGCATACCGAGTGATAATTGGTGCTCTGGATACTGATTACGGCTGGACTGAGACGAAGATTCGGGGGAGGGGAGCGTGCATTGTGGATGCGTCATGGCCATGGATCTTTTGGTATGTAGAATACTAATTACAATCGCCTCGTGAAGTCATAAAGCCATATACGATATACCCATATACGATATACCCCTCCCACGCTCTTCCTCTACCTCACCTCACCTCACCCTCACCCCCGCCGTCCCCGTCCCGAAACCAACCAAGCCAAACCCAAACAAGAAAAGAAAAAGGTAGAAAGAAGAAGAGAACAAGAAAAGCGAAGAGATCTACCCAAAATAAAAAGCCCTACACCATTAACTCCACCTCCCCCCCTGCCCCTGCCCACCCCCCTGCCCACCACCTCCTCCTCCGCCCTGGCCCCCAACCCCGCCAGCGCCTAACACATCGCCCAGCCACTGCTCTAGCACGGTGTTGAGCCCGCGCCGCCCCGCCGCCGCGCCCATCTCGTTCTCGTCCGGGTGGCTGTAGGTTGCGTCGGTGTCTTGCCGCAGGCCGAGGATTTGGAGGGGGGCTTGCGACTCGGGGGGGAGCTGGAAGGCGGAGGGGGAGAAGCCGCCGACGTAGCCGAGGTTTTGGATGAATTCGGGGATGCCGGCTTGCGTCCTGGGGGGTTGTTAGTGCGTGGTTAGGGGGGAGGGGTGCGGATGTGGAGAGTGGAAGGGTGGGATTGTGGGAGTGCCCAGTGGTCAATCATTTCCTGGCCCAGTATATGGCTAACAACCAGGAACGGGGCCAGATCACAGTTGATCATTCGGCATTCCCAGCAGGATATGTCCATGCCCCCCATAACAGCAGCAACTAGACTACAACCACCAATTCCCACACCATACACTCCCAAAAACGGGGGAAAGAACTCACCAAGGCAGACACTCCAGCATCCCCATCTCCTCATCGAACCCGTCCGGACTCGGCTGACTAAAGCTCAGACTCGCGGCCTGACTTCCCCCTCCACCACCATACTCCTCCTCCTGCCCTCCACCACCTCTCGGCGACAACAACGACCCACCACCCACTGGCTGCTGCTGGTGCTGTTGCGGTGGCTGCTGTTGTGGCTGCGGCGGAGGAGGAGGAGGAGGAGGAGGTGGAGGTGTAAAGTTAAATATCCTACCGGGCTCGACCACAAACTCCTCCTGCCGTCTCGCGGGCGCTCCTCGCCCCGCCGTAACAACCTCCTTCCTCCCCGGCGCCGGCGCCTTCAGCATGCCCGCCCCCGTCAACACGCCCGACACCACCAACCGCCCCGCCCACGCCTCATCCACGCGTTTTGCAAAGCCTGCAAACAGCGGGGGCGCCACCGCAAGACTCCGTGCCTCGGCGAACGCCTCGAGGATGGCCACTATTGACGCTGTAGCAGCACCGTTGTCGTGGAGGGCGAGGATGGCGTGTGCGTAAAAGAGGTGCAGGTGCGAGACGTGCGGTGTGCTAGGCACGAGCGCCGGCATCTCGACTTCTAGCGGGTTGAGGACGTCGAAGCTGCAGTGCGCGGGGAGGTCGCGGCACCAGTTGTGGAGGTCCGGGAGGGTATGTGTGCCCCGGGAGACGATTCGGGCGAGGTCCGCGAGGGCGTTGAAGGTGCTGAGGATGTGTGCGGGGTCCTCGCTGTCTTTTGCGGATGTTGCGGTGGGGGTGACGGCTGAGGGGTGCTCTTTCCAGCTGTCCCACTCCTCCCAGCCGTCTTCGTCGATGAGGCGTGTCCAGGAGGTGGCGTGGATGTGGGGTGGGTGGGCGGTGAGACTGCTGATGAGTGTTTCGAGGATGAGGTGGCCGGTCCAGGTGCGGATGTTGAAGCCGCCGTGGGCGGTGGGGAGGCCGATCGTTGTGGCGAGACGCCCGGCGTGCCCGATGAGGAGGTAGGCGGAGGGGTTGTGGCCGTGGGAGAGGTTTATGAGCGCTAGGAGCAGCAGAGCCTGGACGTGCTCGAGGGTTGTGTCTGCGCCGGGGGTGAACAGGATGCTCTGGGCGGCGGCGTAGAGCGTGGCCGCGCTGGGGGCCGTGGGGGCATACCCGTACGTGCTGGTGGCGTCGTGCTGCAGGCTGGCCAGAGAGAGAACGGCGTAGAGGAGGGCACGCTTCCCGGGTGGGATGTCGGCTTTGGGCGGGCTGGCTTTGCGCTTGGTCGAGGTGGCGGTGTTGACGATGTGGAAGAAGCGGATGAGGTCGTACTTGTCGAGGATGGGGAACCAGACGTGCGTGTAGGCAAAGTAGAGGTCGAGGAGGAGGCGTGAGTTGTGCGGCAGCGGGGGGTGCTCTGGTGTGGCTGTGGTGAGGTTCTCGCGGAGGGGGCTCTCGGGCGGGTATGAGAGCGGGCGGAAGGAGGAGCTGTGTGCTGTGTGTGTGGGCGTGGGGAGGATTCCGTCGTGGTCTGTGGCGGAGGAGGAGAAGTGGTGGTCGTCGGCGGTGTCGAGGGGCGTGTAGAGTGGCGGTGTCATAACGGGAGGTGGCCGCATGCGGGTGGGATACGAGGACGCGGTCGAGGAGCCGTGGTCGGTGGTGCCGCCGGGCGTGTGCTGTAGCAGCAGCGACGAAGACGGCGGTATTATGGGCGGGTCTCGGGGCTTGTCTCGCTCTCGGTCCCGATCGGCGCCGGGGTCCTGCTGCTGCACGCTCTGTGACTCCTTCACCCAGTCCATCTCGGTGGTGGCGGCATCGCCGTTCATCGTCGCCGCCGCCATGGATGCCCGCCGGGGTGCGTCCTCGCTCCGCTGTGCCTCGGCCACGCTGGAGGCCATGGCCCGTATCGTGTCCCGGAAAGCGTCGTGCTCGCCGCCCAATTGTAGCTGTAGCCCCCCTCTGCTGGTCCGTTATCCTGCGCATCCGGGGATCTCTCGTCGACGCTCCCTGTACCCGTACCTGCGCCTGCTGCCCCCGTCCCCGTACCTGCCCCTGCTGCCCCCGTCCCCGTACCTGCCCCTGCTGCCCCCGTCCCCGTAACCCTCTCCCTGATCCTCTCCAGCTCCTTCGGCACCACACCCTCCTTCCACAGCCCCGCCAACCGCCGGCCCTCCTCGCCCTCATCAAACAGCGCCGCCCCCCTGCGCCTAACCAGCGCCAGCAGGGCGCCCTCCCCGCCGTCCACACTGTCCATCAGCAGCCCCAGCACGCGCTGCAGCAGCTTCACGGTGCGCTCCAGCGCCGACACGCTTCCGGGGGGCAGCCCGCGCTTCCGGGGCTGCGCGCCGTAGGTGCAGGTCTGCGAGAGCGTCACGCAGGGGGAGCAGGCGGGTGTCTTGCCGTCGCATTTGGCTTTGCGCGAGCGGCATTGCTCGCAGGCGCGGGAGACGCGCATGCGTTTGGGGGCGGGGGTGTCGGTGGTGGGCGGCGCGCTCATGTTGGGGGGTGTGGGGTGGTTGGGGGGGTGTGCGGGCGGGGGGGCATAGACGGGGTGGTGATGGGGGGGCTATGGTGCTGGTGCTGGTGCTGGTGTGGGCGTGGTGCGGGTGGGTTGTGGGTGGTTCCAAGATGCTCTGTCTCTGTGCCCGGTCAATGGGTGGGCAGTGGTGTGGTGGTGGTTTATGGCAGTGTGTAGACAGACAATTGCTCAATCGACGTGATGTTGCTAACTCGGGGGTGGATGGACGATGGCTGTTAATTTCTAACTGCAGGGCAGGTCGGTTTTTGCGGGGAAGTTGTGGGGAAGGCTTGGAACATTACGCTGGGGCACAAAGACTGGGAGAGGATGCCCTCGCCCATTCTTGGACTCACTCTTGGAAGTTGGGACTTGCCGAATGGTATCACTCATCTCTCACCCGAATGGAGGTATGCACCTACATTTCTCTACTCTACTCTACTCTACTCTACCTATGTAAGGACGGTCTGAGCTTGCCGAGTGCATCTGTCTGGACGGTACGGCATGTAGTTTTGTAATTACGCTGGAGAGTACTCTACATTGCAGAACTGGGGACGTAGTTATATGGTATCGTGAGGAGAACACAAGCGATCAAGTGCTACCTGAGAAAGACAGAGCTCCATGACCACCCGCATTCGGACTAGCTGCATCTACGTTCGGTGAAGCGTGGCTTGGCGGTCATGGGCTATAGTGTTGGCGGGTAAAGATTTAGGCGGGGGACAGACCGGAGTTGCTTCTCCCCCGTGTCTCACTCAGCTGTCCCCAGCCCTCACCCCTCTGCATCTGTTTTGCTCCACACTCAATCTCCCCCCCCTCCCTCATACTCACCCATGTCACTCTCCAGTCTCCGCAAGCCCGCTCATGCCGCTGCTCACTGCCATTCCACCCACAGTGCAGTCACTCAGTCCTCCCCACCCGAATGCTCAGGTCCCAGTGATGATGGATCACCAACACAGCCGTGCTAATGCTGCAAAAATTGGGTTGTCATCACCATCGCCCAAAGTGTTGTCAAAATCCATATCAGCCTCGTCACAGCTAGACACACAATCGCAACACCACCACACGCAACCTCCCTTTGTCTCTCCTGCACCTCAGCAGTCATCCTCCTCGACATCGACATCGACATCGTCCTCCACCTCGACCACCTCGCCCAGACCCCCCCTCTCGCGCCCTACCTCAATGAAACGGAAACTCGCAGAGGTCACAGGTTTCGACGGCCATCTGCAGCCTCCACCCCCCCCCTCGCCTCCCCCAGATCCATGCCCGCCCCCCTCCCCCGCCACGGAAAGATCCCGCCACTCATGTCCGCCTCGCGCCCAAAGAGCTTCCGCGCCAACGCCTCCATCGCGCTCATTGGCCTGCGTGGGGTCGGAAAGTCTACCATAGGTGTCATCGTCTCCTCCACCCTCCGCCGCCGCCTCATCGACGCCGACATGCACTTCTTCCAGGACACGGGCATGGCCGCCGCCCAGTACGCGACGGCCCACGGCTGGCCCGCATACCGCGCAAAGGAGGCCGACATCCTCGCCGACATCCTGCGCGACCACGACACGGGCGCCGTCATCGTGTGCTCGAGCGGGTGTGTCGAGAAGCCGGGCTCCCGCGCCCTGCTGCGCGAGTGGATGGAGCGCCACCCCGTCGTGCATATCGTCCGGCACGAGAAGGAGGTCGAGGCATACATCAGCCCGCAACCGCCCGCTGCCGCACAGGGGCAGATGCAGCTGCAGGTTCCGGGGGCAGCCGCCGGCCCGGTGTCGGCCTCGGCCCAGACGCTACGGAGACTGGCCGCAAGGAGGGAGCCGATGTATACCGTGTGCTCGAACTTTGAGTTTTACAACATGTGGGACAAGCAGCTGCAAGCCACGAGCGGAAAGTCCTCGCCCTCGTCCCCGACGTTGAAGAAGGTCGAGCAGGACTTTCTCAGGCTGCTCAACTTTGCCTTCCAGCAGGAGATGGCGCCGTTGATTGTGTGGGACCGAAACAGCCCTCACCCGGCCTCTGCGGCTGCGTCGACGGCGCTCGAGGATAGATTGTATGCCTATGCCCTTGTGCTGCCTCCCAGCGCCTCTTTCGGCCCCATTGACGGCGGCCGCATTGACATTGACGAGCTGGGCGCGACGGTGGAGGCGTTTGACCTGAGGATCGACCATCTGCTCCACTCGGGGATGCCCGTCGGGGACAACCCGGCCACCCTCCGGTTCGTGAGCGAGCAGTTTGCCCATGTCCGGAGACAGTCCCACCTCCCCATCATCTACCATGTGGGCACAGCCAACGAGGACGGATCGTACCCTGCGCAGCCCACCGATGCCAGGGGCGAGGACGACTACTTTAACCTTCTCCACCACGGCCTCCGCCTGGGCGCCGAGTATCTCGTCGTGGAGCTGCAGTTCAGCGACCAGCGAATCCGCGAGCTGGTGGCGTCGAGAGGCGCAACCAAGATCATTGGCTCGTACCACGAAAACTCGGGCGCGGTGGGCTGGGGCAGCCCGGAGCGAATGAAGATGTACGACCGCGCCGCGCAGCTGGGCTGCAACATTGCCCGCCTGACGCAGCGGGCCACGAGCCAGGGCGACAACTTTGCCGCGATCTCCTTTAGCTGGGAGGTCAAGCGGCGGCGCGACGCAGCAGCGGCCACCGCGCAGCGGCAGCCAAGTAGTAGCAGCCTGCCCCCCCTGATCGCCTTCAACACGGGGAAGCTGGGGCGCATGTCGCGGTTCATGAACCGGGTGCTGTCGCCCGTCACGCACCCGCGCCTCGTCGAGTACCAGAAGGAGCAGCAGATGACCGTCGACGAGGAGGACGCCATCACGCCGCGGGAGGCGCTGATTGCAATCCACGCGTGCTCGGTGCTGCCGCGGCGCCAGTTTTGCATCTTTGGGTCGGCCATCACGCACTCGCTGTCGCCCGCCATGCATAACGCGGCATACGCAGAGTACGGGCTCCCGCACAACTACCGCATCCAGCAGGCGGCGTCGATCAACGAGCTGCTGCACATTGTGCAGGACCCAAACTTTGGCGGCGCCTCGGTCACGCTCCCGTTCAAGCTCGAGATCATCCCGCTGCTGCACAGCATCTCGGACCACGCCCGCGCAATCGGCGCCGTCAACACAATCATCCCCATCGACACTGACCACCGCGGCGGGGGGAGGGCGCACCCGGGCCTGCACGGCGACAACACGGACTGGATCGGCATCCGCACGTGCACGCTGCGCTACCTCACCCCCGTCAACGCCATCACAGCCCGCACCAGCGCGCTCGTCGTCGGCGCTGGCGGGATGGCCCGCGCGGCAGTCTACGCGCTGCAGAAGCTCGGCGTCGAAAACATATTCATCTACGGCCGCTCCGTCAACCGCGCCGCCGACCTCGCGCAATACTTCAACTGCCGGTCACGCAGCAGCAGTCTGGCCGTGCCGTCCACCACGGACTCCCCCGAGGCGGCATCAAACGCCAGCAGCCCTACTAACGCCGCCAACAGGAGCACCGTGCGCGTGCTGCCGTCGCTCGAGCACCGCTGGCCGGAGGACTTTTGGCTGCCCAGCATCGTGGTCAGCTGCATCCCCGCCCACAGCATCCAGGGCGCGCCCCCCGCAAACTTTACCCTCCCGGAGGCGTGGCTGGCGTCGCCGACGGGCGGCGTCTGCGTCGAGGTATGCATCTTCCACATCCTGTTTGTGCCGCGAAATAGTCGTAATCTAACGGAGGTGGACCTGAAACAACAGCTCGCGTATAAGCCGCGCGTCACGCCGCTGCTGCGGCAGGTGCGCGCGCTGGCGCATAGGGGGTGGATCGGCGTGGATGGATTGGAGGTGCTGCCGGAGCAGGGGTATGCGCAGTTTGAGATGTTTTTGGGGAGGCAGGCGCCGAGGAGGGTGATGAGGGAGGCGGTGGAGGCGGCGTATGAGGAGGCGAGGAGGGCGAGTGCGGAGAGTGCGGCGAGGTCGGGGGCGGCGGGGCCGGCGAGTGAGGGGGAGTTGGGGGAGGGGTGGGTGACGAGGTAGCGTGCTTGGGGGGCGGCGGGTGTATATAGGGACTCTGGGCTGTTTTTTCGCTCGTTTTTTGTGACCTTTTTTTGTATGTCTGTAGCTTTTTGGAGTCTTGTGCTTTTTGGGACGTTGGGGTTGTTGAGTTGTACCTATACGGCGGTTGGGAATGTATGGATTTCACGAACGTTCTTATATACACTGCTAGCTACCGGGAATGGGGGCGTGCATGCGGTGTGGGGTAGACTATGGTATGTCGTGCCAATGTAGCCGGTGGCCCGGTTCGAGAAGTGGGATGATGGGCATGGGGCCCTGCAGAGGTCAAGCAGGGACTGAGAGGGTGGGGTTGGGGGTGGAGGGATGGAGGGGCGAGGGCGAGGGGGAGGTGCGTCATGCCGTGTCACTCGGTGAGTGGTTTTTGTGGTTACTATGCAAGCAGCATATTAACTTGAATGTAGAAACCATATATACTTACCCCACAACCCGGTGGATGTCTTTCGTAGAGAACCTGCATTCTGGTACGTGGGATACAGGTGACAGCTCTCCACATACGCCTGGTCCGATGACAATGTCCTCCTTTGGTATATATATCAGGCCGGCAACGCAGCTAGCAAGAATACGGTGTTCTCCTCCGTAACAACACCTGTTCCGTCTTGTTCACAAAGTAAATTCCGCCCGTATTCCGTGCGTGCTGCCTGCAATTGCCGCTGGCTGTACGGCCAGAGGCGGTAATGTTTGCTGCATGGTTTGCTTGCTTGGTGATGGGCACGAGACGAGACGAGACTTGAACTTTGTCTAGTTAATGTGCAAGACCCGCCACAACCACAAGGCAAAACAAGACAAGACGGAGACCCTGCGCGACGAGACGAGACAAGCCAGGTCTCGTCTCGGCTCGTCTCGTGCCCATCACTATGCTTGCTTGCGTGGGTTTGGAGACTTTCTTGTTCCTTCTTTGCTCTCGTTTTTAGTGGTGTGTAGGGTTGGTTTAATAGGGTCCTGAGTGTTGCTAGGCAGGGTGGGGGGCAGCTGTTATGGGTAGGGTTAGGGTTAGATCAGGTACCTTTGATGGAGTGTTTCTAGCTGGTATGATATGACTATATAACCCTCTCTCGTGGGGTGCTGTTCCTGTGTAGACACAACGGACGAGGAGGATGTGGTGTCTTATTTTCGTGGGTCTGTTGCGATATATCGCTAGCTAATGGAAGGAAGACACCGGCCTTTGATGCGATAGCCCTGTTGGGAATCAACCCCATCAAAGAGTACAGGGTAAGCGAATTGGAAGTGAAATGGAAGCTCTGAACTTTGGTGCCTGCATAGGTCTAGCTATAGATGGTCGGTGTGCTGCTAAGGCGAAGATATAGGAGCTGTTTGTAAACGCTGGTTTCGGCGTTTGGCCGTTGGCAATATATCTAATAAGTATATAATTATAGCCTGCATATGCAATGTGCTTTTATAGTCTTTTGATTGGTTCATTGAGAGATGTTTTTGTTTCACTTGAAACATGTTGTGTTGGATATTAAGATAGGGTATTGTGCTGAGTGGTATTGGAGTGTTAATAGGGTTTCTACTGGTTCTGGGAATCGATAGTGGTTCGATTTTAGCGGTTTGGTAGCTGTTAAAGGGATATACCTGTAGTTTTAACTGGAGAAATTGTCTGACTTATCCATTGATATATGCCTGCCAGGCAAATAGACAAATAAGCCGCAAAGCGGCTTGCCTGTATATTAGACTGATTGATATACATATAGTATCGGCCGAAGGCCGGAAACTACTTGTATATATATATATCTAATCTACATAAGTATACGATCAAGTGACAACAACACATAAGAAGAGAAGGCATCTACGGCGGCTCGTAACTACCAAAGTGCAATTAAGGATTTCGGTTGCAACGAGACAACGAAAACCTAACAACCCGCCCACACAAAAAAAAAAAAAAACTCTGCTGGTGATTTAGTTGTGGACATATTAAATAACTTTAGTTAAATACAAATAAATAAATTACTACTCCCAATCTGAATCTTCCTCTTGACTTAGTTCATTATCGGTTATGTCAGGTAAATTTTCATCATGGAATTCTGCAAACAAGTGTGCTACACCCCGTCCCCTAATAGAAGACACCTCCCGGGGCTTTAACAATAATGAGAGCACAGGATTTTGATTTCCCTTCTGAATGTGTCTTCCTAGATATGCATTAAGTAAGGTATAAATAACAAAATGAGTCTTTTTACCATCAGGCATGATGTCCTCATACTGTACCCCATTGGCAGGCAGTCCTCCTTTTGAAAGCATATGGGCGCAGTAGTCCATTGTTGAATTGGGGAGATAGGAATCATGATCTTATGTGTTTCCGTCAGTAAAAGTTAGGCAAACAAAAAATTTTAAGTATCAGGAAACATATATACCGTAGTACTCATTTGTGTAGCTATTTTTCAATTTCTTATCTCTAATACTTTCAATCGTATTTAGAAAAGGTATTTGCTCATAATTGTTGACACCGTCAGGTGGAAAATAGTAGTTGTAGTAGGGTTCCCCGGTGGGAAGATTGGGTCTGTTACTTTGTTTCCGTATCTTATGATTATTCCAGTTCTCAACAAACTGATGTAGCTTGGCCCGTATAATAGGCATATAGGTGTAAAGAATAGCTATCATGTCCTCCAATTTGTCTTCTTGAAATAGGTTTCCCTGTTGAAGTGTACGGAAATATTTCTTTTTAATACTGTTTAGTGATATTTCTATATGTAATAGAATTGATTCACTTTACCTTCCAATCGGCTGTAGCCCCCTTTGTAAACTGTCCCTACCAACTTTCTATACGGACATTCCTTGTTGATTTTCCATACCAAAATACCTCCGGGAATGTAATATCTGGGTTATGATCTTTGTGTAACTCCCAAAAAGATTCCGCCAGTAACATTGTTTCCGTCCCTCTGTCTGCCCTGATATGCAACGGCAAACAATTCTGTGTCTCCATAACCTCCAAGAATTGATTTAATACACTGACCCCCGTCTTGCCAGAAACTCCACAGTAGAACCACGTTACATAACGCGAATATGCATCTATAGCAGCATAAATTTCAATGCCAAACATTTGCAGTTTGAGATGCCCATCAATAGACCAACACCAATTAGGTCCGGGGCATATGAAATTCGCATGGTGTCTATTGACACCCTTCAGTCTGTTTTCCACCCCGATTGGATCAACAATCTTCAAAGCTTGTCCTATCCGATGACTTTCAAAATTAGTTTAGTTTAGTTTGATAAAGGAATATTACAAAGTCTTACTGTGAGGCCAAAACACCCATATTCCGTAAGGGCATCCAGACTGATCTCTGGCCGGCTAAAGTAATATTCCCCCTCTCCAATTCTTGCTCAATTATTTCTTGCAATTTTTGATCGGCGTTATCATTTATCTCAACTTGCGTTAACCTTCTATACATCCCCATAGATTTCCGTATGATACATAATCTCTTGAATTCTATTTGATAACCATGAATTTTTAAAATCTGGTTTTAAATCGGTATCTAAACGATATTATTTTAAACCGTTGAGATTGCAATACATACACTTAGGATTTTTTTATCACTCAGACACTTAATCCAAAATAGGTAGGCAATCTCAACTCGCATAGAAGGTGTGTCCTGGCTACGGGTGTATTTTCTAAAATTCCATTCTCCCAGCTTAGTCATAAGAGACATGCGGGAGCATTTAATGACCGTTTCAGCCAAGAATGATAATACTTGATCAATTGTCTGATCTTGTTCAACATAAAGCCGTTGGATTAAATCTTGGTTTGCTGATAGTGCAGCCGCAGCCGGTGATTGGCGAAAAGTTGACATTTCGAGTGATAGATGATGACGTTGTGTGTTTTAATAAAAAATATATGAAATTGATGGTAGTCACAATTGACAGTTTCGGAATAATCAAATACATTGGAAATGGTTAAAATACATTTTATATATACATAAATATGAAATTCTTTGAAATTCTATTATGTTCTATACTCACAGAGATATATTTTAGAAGCCGAACATAACCGACAAACCCCACCTTGTATCCCGTATTTATTTTCAATATCAAATAAAATATATTTTGATTTTATATCAATTTTAATATCATCAATCATTCAACAATGTCGCCAGTTGAATATTGCGCAGAAAGGGAAAAAACTATCCAATCGCATACTACCGACAAAGTTTTCCGTTGTTGTGGAGAACGTGTACCACCATATTTACTCCTACCAGGCTCCCGTAACTCAACAAAGGTAAAAAGGGAACCAATAAAAACCATAGCCGGTGGTTCAGCATCTGCACCACCAACAGAACCCAGGCCAAATAGAAGAGATAAAGGGAAGGGTAAAGCCTCACAAAATATTGAAACAATCCTTCTTCTTTCCAGCCCGACAAACTCACCAGAGACAGTTGTAAAAACAGGTCAGTTAACAGCCCGTCAGATTGTGGAACTTTACCGTCAAGGCTCAATTAGTAAAACTTCTACAGAATCTAAAAAACAGAACTCAACATTTGGTTTAGTGCATGCCCTCACATCACCAGCCCCCGCCAGCAAACAAAGTACTCTCAAAATAACAGCTAGAGATTCCCGCAAGTTAGTGATATAAGTTGGCACTTTAGATGATAAATGAAGTTCATATAAGAACATAGGTAAAACAATCAAGTGTCGGGATATCTTATTTAATTTATTTTAACCAATTATATAGGTGTATCATCAAAGGTATTTGAGGACTTAGATGAGCTCATAACCGACCACTCTGACTTTGCTTTCGGTCTCTTGAGCTCCTCTCCTAATTGGCAGGATGCTATCACCGCAGAGTCATTAGATATACATCAAGTCCTTGTGGCAACACATTTCCACCCCAAAGACGGACCCCATAGGTTGGAGGTCAGGAGCAAGCCAATAACTGTTAGAGATTTTCTGATGGATTTCCCTGTAGGGCCGTCTACAAAAATTGTTTTGGTAGTCAAATACCAAACAGATGAACAACGGGCAATCAGGATCAAAAAAGAGAAGGAGGAAACAAATGAGTTTCTCACTGCTGTTCGGGCAAGAAGAGACAGATTTGATTCACCGGCGGTTGTCAAAAAGGAGCTTTATATGAGAGTAGGAGAACCGGTATGTTATTTAATTCTATAGAATTGTAGCCGATTCATATTAATTATCCTATAGGCACCTTCCCCAGAAGAGGAACATTTTACCAGTGATCCCCCATTGCCCTCTACGCCTACATTAAAAAGAGATTCAACGGCTTTGACTCCTGATCTACCTGAGAAATCAAATTCTGTACTTAGCTCTCCCGATTTACAATCCTCTCCATCACCAATTGGTAAAGATATCCCTTCAATATTACCTGACGGGAATGCTCTACAAGAGACCAGAAAATCTAATCGGCCACCAAAGAAGAGGAGGAGATTATATGAGGATAGTGATTAAACATTTTTGTAAATAGTTAAAAGAATCATTTTATTTCTCTAACTACTAATTATCATTCTAATCTAAACAATTTCGGGAAATCTTTTAAAAAATTCCTTCTTGACGGCTTCATGCATTGTTGAGACCAAACAATGTCTAAAACCGTACCAGTTAGTAGTAAAGTGTTCCAACTTTGTTCCCCTAATAAAACCAATTCCACCAGGCCTACAAACAAACCTCCTATTCATTTCCCTGATACAGAAATCAGCCCCCGTGAACTCACCCATTGGTGCCATCACAGCTCATCCATCTTTTAAATCACCAATATCACAATGAGGTTCAGTAAACAGATTAATCAAACATGCTCTCAAAGAGAAACATTCCTGATCATCAGTTGCCCACTGTTGTTTCTCCCCCTTGGGCAAAGCCGTAATCATTTTAATACAAAGATCTCTGTTATCTTTGTCAACGGTACCAAGCAAAATTCTTTTGGCTCTGGTAAGATTGCCTAGTGAGGTAAAGAGGCGGAGGAGAACAGGATTCATATGTTGAGATGTTTTGAGAGTATCCTTGGTGATGACAGCATCATCATTATGACCTCTTTCCATCCACATACCCCAATGGTAAATACCAGCCCGTGACCAATCAGCCCAATAAAGATGAGGATTGGCAAGAAGCCAATTCTTGTAATCAGCATGCCTAATATCTTTGGCACCGGGAATATCAGGTGGTTGGAGTTCAGAATATTCCTCAATGTTGTAAGTTTTAGACTCCAGAACCCAGTTCCCAATTTCAACTCCGTAGACCATCTCAAAACCCTTGCTGAAGTAGACAAACATGCGGGTGTAATTTTTATCAAGGGCAAGATAAAAGGCACTGGGAACTGCAGGAACTTCAACTTGCTCATAAGTAAAAGCAGTCTTATTGATCTCCTCCAAACTCTTGTTAACAAGAGTGCCAACTTTATTCAAAGGTTGTGTAACGGGGACAGTCTTTCCACGTATCGCTAGAATCCGATAGAAAGATGTGGCCGTGCAAGATAGAAATCAGGTGCAGATTTATTCAAAGATACTATCGCTTAGAACTCAATAATCTTTAAGGGCTCTGCTACCGATAATGGTCTACTCGAAGATGAGGATCAGGTCAGTTGGGCGGGAATGATCCTGAGTACTTATACTCCAAAGGATTCTATTCTCTGCTCCTACTTCCTTACTAAGTTCCGGTGCTGCCTCCTAGTGGAAGGGAAGCAATACCATCGCTACCCCGCTTCTCTCTAAGCGTCAGCGAGTGCTTCCGATTCCGAAGGCAATCACCCTTAGTCAAAGCCTTTGTAACACCTGCAGCCTTTGTTGCCACACAACTAGGGGCCTGCATGAATGAGCTGCCGCTCAGGTGTAAGCTTACTCATTGCTGTAGAGCTTCCGCTTATTGTAGACTTCCCAGGCATAGTCTCTTCCACTGCTGGCGGACTTTCAATGCTCAGAGGATGTGGAGGATCGCTGAGCACTCAGAGCTTCACTCTGGCTAGCCTTCTAATCATTGGCGAGGCACAGACTCGTCAGTCATTGCTCCCATGAGTAGATCCTCTTCCTAGCGCTCAGAATGTAGTTACTCTGACAGTTGGTAGCTAACCACACTGCCGGTACTTGCATGTCACTGTGCAACTGGCTTCTAACAATAACTCTCAGCATGTAACCGGGCCCGGTGTGTACTCATACACCAGACAGTTGAAATGGCTCCGTTACAGGTTGAGAGATCTCAACGTCAAAGAACACCTCAATGATACTCCCAATCTTGCCCTTGAAAATCTTAAATGACTTGGCCCCGTTGGCTTTGGCCTCCTCACAAGTAGACTTCATACCCTCAGAGAGACATATCCACTTGTTGATATCCCTTTCCAACTCCCGATCACTCTGTGCTTTTTTGGGTTCAGCAGATTGACCGGCAGCTTGATCACCAGATTGACCACCAGATTGAGTGGCAGCTTGCCTGGCAAGGAATGGTGTGAACTGTTTGGTGATGATATCAGCCAGGCGGTGGCTTTTGACACAGTCGGCCTTCTTTTGCCCTTGAAGATAGGGAGGAGACTTGAGGGTGCCGGCTTTGGTGTGCATCAGGGTGGGATTGGTGAACTTAGGCATTGCTGTAGTCAAATTAGCACCGGCAGCAGTCTTGCAATGCAATAAAAACTCACCTACTAGAGGTAAAGCTAAGTGGTCGGGAACAGGTGCTGGCTGGGACAGGTACTGGAGTTGGCGGGGACAGGTACTGGAGTTGGCGGCAACGGACTTCCTTACCAGAGGTTAAGTGAAGGCGTGCAATAAACTTCCCTACCAGAGGTTAGGTGAAGTGACCGATGGTGTTCGTGGTGTTCGTGGTGTTCGTGGTGGTGTTCGTGGTTGGTTGGTGGTTGGTGGTCGTGTTCGTGGGGTGTCGCGCTGGTTGCCAAAACCCCGAATTCGCTAATTGCACTTTGGTAGTTACGAGCCGCCGTAGGCATCTAACAGTCGAGGGCATGGACGTGAGAGTACCTGTGGATTCGAAGGCGGCAGTGGAGTTTCTGGGGGAGGGTGTGGAGCATTCATCTCGGTGGGTAGCGAATACGGGGTATGGAAGCGTCAGGTGAGGACGAGGATGTTGTGAAGAACTACATATATGTTCTTTGACACAAACTCCTCAGGTTATAGCCAACGCGGGCAACCGCCTTGTCGCCTGTTGAATACGGCGAGTGATGGCTCATGACGACAATGAACTACGGCTGTCGAGCGTGGGGCCATAAACCCTGTGATAGATATTAGAGTCTTGGGTAGAGAAAGGAAGATTTTGCTAATCGGGAATGATCTCCATTGATAGAGACTCAGCAGTGATACATGGTCTAGAAACTGTTCAACCCGCTATGGTTTGTAGTACCGTACCGTACCTTTTTTCTTTTTTTCTTTTTTTGTTTAATTCATTAATTTTATGGGTTTGTACTGTACCTGAAAACAAGGCCTTGGGGCATGTATTCTGATAAGTGCGCATTGTGCGTAAATCAACAACTCCAGAGTGTGCAGTAATCAATTTAGATAACCCCATCTCTGTACTGCATACCCAAAACTCACGACAGAGCGAGGCCAGAAAACGACCAACTTCGGGAGGACAAAGCATTCCAAATGTAGCTGCTGAGATTTTTTTGAATGCAACCCTGGTGGTAGTGCCTTGTCATTTTAAATTTGCGTACCAACTCCAGCCGGAGACGGATCAATTGATCCATTACCTGGGGACGTTAACTGGGGCCGAGTTTAAGGTTCATTTGCTTGGAGAAAAGGCGTCGTTTTGATTCATTTCCAGCGTTCGAGAAATACATTTCCAGACTCCTTTCCCGACGCCTTTCTCGAGACCTTTGCAACCAATGGATGCTTTTTCCCCCACGGTCTTTTCTGCTTGCTGTTTTGAAGCGTTTCCTCATGTTTTTTCCCCACGGAAAAGGGTGATGTATCCAAGTACTGATCAAAACTCGGGAGAGACACAGAGAAAAGGCCTTAGGGAATGCGTCATGGGAGAATATTGGAAAATGAATTAAATATAGTGTGGTAGAAAAGATTTTGAGGAAAGGCATTCATTGAGTACCTTTTACCACCCCTCGGGAAACCAGTAGTCTCTCAACTGATTTTGCGTAAGTGATCCGATCTCTACTACAGAGTCATTTAAACTACTGGCAGGAGCTTAACTCTCATCAAGATCACATGTTGGGGGGTAAAAAAAGGTAAGAAATATGTAGACTTAAGCGACGAAGTGAACTTGAGGATCCGTTTACCGATTCATTTCGTCATACTAGGTTGATTAATTTAAAGGCTGAAGAGTGTTACTTTAATACAGACATTAACACTGATTCCCTTCCCCGGATATATTGACTGGCCGGCATTTATAGAATTGATAAAGAGCTAGCAAACAGACCATTGTTGAGAGACACGAGTGTAGGCATAAGATCCGAGTTTTTAAACCACCACCCGCCAAAGCGCAGAATCTCGAATACAATCAGTCCAGTATAGGTCTCCGGGCAACCCAAAGTTTGGCCTTGATTACCTCCGCTCCAATATAAGGGAACAAATGAAGCGGCCAGGAAAGAGTTTCGAAAGTGTAAAGGAAAGCTACTAGTGAAATTTTGTGTTGGGCGTATGACTATAACTTTGTGTTGGGTACAAATGAAATCCATAATTGTAACCTTAGGACTTTGGCTACACTTGATGCCTCCTCATATATTGCTTCTACCTTTACATTACTGAATTGTTGCGCAATTATACGATGTACATATGCAGCTTGCTGTGGTAGTTTGTGTAGGTGGTTATAATAGACTATATACGGCAGGTACAGAATCATGTATAGTGGAGACAGGTGTTTTTTTTTTTTTTTTTTTTTCTTTCCCTGAGGGTCGGGTGGAGTTATTTGTCATAGCCTTAAGGCTGCACATAAATGGGTTCAAAGGAGGGTACGTGAAATCACAGGGTATCACTCGCAATATTATACAACTCGAGTGGTAATCTGTGTTGCAACCTTGTGCTACCATGAATCAGGCCTCCACTGAACGTGTCTTTGGCTCCAAGCCTCAACCACAGCGACACAACACAACTACACAAACTCTCGCAGACTATCAAGCATCACATCATGGCTTTCCTGGAAAGTGCTAAAGAATATTCTTCCCTCCCATGTAAGTCCGCTCACCAGCTTCCCCGCCCCATATAACCCATTCTAACGTTCCTTCAGTAGCAGCTACCGAGCACGCACCTTCCCCAAAATTCAATTTCGGCCAAACCCCTGTCTTTGGCGCCTCTGCCACGGGTTCCGCGTTCGGTCAACCCTCCGTGTTTGCCGCACGCCCATCCTCTCCAACCGAATCGTCGGCTGACAAACCACTCCCCACCGACGTCGCCGCCCTCCAGTCCATCGTCCGTACCCTCCTCGCCGAGGTCAAGGCCACCACAAGCGTCAACGCACACCTCGCCGCCACTGTCGCCCGCCTCCAAGAGTCACAATCAGCACTGTCCACCACCCCCACTCCCGCTACCACAGCCAACTCCACTCCCGCTCCTACCACCCTCCCACACCCTCCAATTGACAACCCCCGCACCATCGCTAGCGGCCGAGGTTGCGCCTCCCCTGAACTCTTCCAGGAGCTCATCAAAAAAAACTGGCATGGCCGTCTCGGCCGCACACATATGGTTGATGTTGACGCCCTCCCAGCTACGGCGCTCTCCGAGCTCGACTGCCTTCTACGGCGAAAGCTGCATGCCATCTTCCCTCGCGGGGGTGCCTATATCGAAGCCGATGCAGACACGATTTTTGCAAGTCTTGCGGCGCTAGGACTGCGACTGGAGGACCGGGGGGCGTATGCAGATTTGCCCATTGTAAACAGTGATACGCTGAAAGATCATCCGACGATTAGAAGGGGGTTGAACAAATTCTCGTGGTATATAAGTAAGGGCAAGTGGGGTGAGTATTGGAAGGCGGTGGTTCTGGAAACGTTGGTGGAGTTGGCGAGGTATAGGGGGTTGATTGATGACGAGGGGTTTGTGAAGACAGAGTAGTGGGGAGTATTGGACTTATGGCATATATATATATATCCTTTTGTTCGTGGGGTGATGTTACAAAACGCTATTCGTGTAGATAGGAGAAACTGAACTGTGCATTGTGTAAAAAAATCAAGGGCTGAGCCTGCTATCGCTTACAGAATATCGGGGCTATTAATTTTCGGTATCCTACCTACCCGGGTTTCATCCGGATAGTTTGAGTCATCCGAATACTGAACATAGGATGCCTCTATCGACAGATACCAATAGATACACAAAGTAGGCACAGTAGCCGGAAACAAGCTTTAGAGTGCGTTTGGAAATGGCCTGATGTAAGCAGGGGCAAAACCCCGTTCAAATTGAAACACCGTTATGGGGAGTATTGAAGAACTACATAACTCTTTGCTACTTTATTATTTCGCAGTCCAACGCTCGAATTTCAAAGAATTTCACTTTGCAGGATGCTAGCGGGATCGTTTTACCGAACGGCCTCTTAGATCTCTGGTTGACAGTAGGCCTAGCTAGGTACTTAATCATATGGTAGAGCCTTCGTATCAATAATACGGTGCAATGCAAAGACTCGAGAATCTTTATGTATGTATCTCAAAGACCACTACATCAAATCCTTCACCCCCCTTCTAAAAACCCTCTCATTCTGGTGCAAGGCTAGGGGCTCTTCACTGAAGTTATTTGGTTAGGGGTCCGGAACGGAGGGCTTAGATTCAGGGAGAGAGTCTGAATACTCTGTTATCTACCTGTATATACGTAACCCGGTCGCCGCTTTATGATTACTTGTAATTCACTCGGCAAGATCAACCAACAGCTGGAGTACTGAAAACTATGCCAAGACAGAAACCCTAACCCATGATGCGACCTTTATGCATGGCCTCTGATCTGGTGGAGGATGTGGTTAATTATGAAACCAGGGTGCAGCGGAGCAATGCTTTCAGGTTTTAATTGGTGCTGTTTCCGCAGTAGTCATAAGTGAATTTTTCAATGAGTACGAGAACGAACCCGGATACGTGTACTGCATGTATGGACCATCGTTATAATATACTCTGCTCTATTACATCATGTTATCATTTCCCCGCACAGGCTTGTAGAGCATCATGCGCAACTTGGGGTGGACGAGACCTGGGGTTGGGAAGGCACCCTTTTTCGCCGATATTAGACCCGTACTTCAGCGGACAAAGAAAGAGCGTAGAGCCTTCATTTAGTATAGATTATATACATCCAATCAAAAACCATAATAACATTCCAGAACAAAAAAGAAAAACAACATGACACCAGTAGTATATCGAGGAGAAGGAAAATAGGTCGTGAGAAAATTAGGAGAGTAGAGGCGTAAATGCTGTGAGTCTCCAGGCAAGGTGTGAAGTAATTGGTTGTTTTTTCAACCAGAGGTAAAATAGATGAAAATAATCTCCAAAAATTAAAAAAAAATAGATAATGGGCTGATGGGATCCTGTTATCCTGATAGACGTTTCCCCCCCCCCGCGTCCTTTTGTCTGGCCGAAAAGACAAGCACACAAATGTTCTACATCGAGCTCGAGACAAATCTTATACTCTCGAAAGAGCATTGGAAACACAGGAAATATCCGATTAAACATACTGATACTTAGGCTGTGTAAATTGAATGTTACAATTGATATGGAGCGGATCGTGGATCTCCCCCGCATCTTGGATCTCTTCCGCATCTCTACCGATAACTGGTTCTGGTGCCGGGGCTGCTGCTGCCGGTGTGGGAACATTCCGACGAAACTGTTTAATAGCCTTGAACATTCCAGTAATGCCAAGAATATTAGCTTTAGCTTTCGCTTTCGCTTTCTCCTGCCTCACACGTTCAGCTTCAGCTTGACGCTGAGCACGGTCCTCACGCTCCATCCTTGCACGCTGAGATTCCACCGCTGGGTGCTCGGTATCCAAAGGATCGACATCATCATTAAGGTCTTCATTATCCACATACGCGTGATCCGTATATGCGTTACCTCTGTATGTGTCGTCCTTATATGTTGAATGCGAAACTGACAATTGACGGAATTTTCTGGTTGCCTTCAATACCCCCGTGAGACCAAGGAGCCGAGATCTTGCGAGCTTACGTCGCATACGCTCGGATTCAGCTGCAAGGAAAGCACGCTCAGCTTCAGAAATATCCTTGTGTTGAACCCGCCCAGCTTTTGCACGCCGGTCTTGTTGTCGTTGCCTGGCATCCCCGTGGCGATCCTGTGAATGTCTGGCATCCTCACGATCACGCTGATCTAGGGAGTGCCTGGAATCCTCACGCCAATCTTGTGAGTGCCTGACATATACATCCTCATGCCGATGATAACCAGGGTCTTCTGCATCCGTAGCTTCAGGACGTGGAACTGCTTGACGGAACCGTTTAACGGCTTTGAGCATTCCCGTGAGGCCAAGGATACTAGCTTTCGCAGCTTTTGAACGCCGCTCCTGGTCCACACGCTCAGCTTCAGCACGTTCGTCTCTAGCACGTTCGGCAGCACGTTCGACAGCAGCACGCTGGGCTTTCTTAAGCTCGGCTTCGAATTCAGCTTCGTCGTAGTCAAACGCTGAATACTGATCCCCTGAGCGTCTGGTTTCATCACGTTGCCCAGTCCCGCTATAAGAATCATGATTCTGAATGTCTTCTTCCTCGGCTTCAACGGTAACCGTCGGGCGTGGTGGAACCATTCCACGAAACACTGTGGTGGCCCTTATCACGCCTTTGAGACGAGCCCTTGCAAGCTCCCTTCGAGTACGCTCCTCTTCGGCGAGACGTTCGGCTTCAAGGCGCTCAGCCCCAACACGTTCACCTTGAGTAAAACCAGACCATGTGCGGGAAACGGGAGGTTTGATAGCGTGGTGCCAAGGTTCGACTAAGGCGACATTTTCGTTGACCCACGGATGCTCAAGTGCTCTGGCGGCGGTTAAGCGGAGGGATGGTTGAGGGACAAGGACACATAGTATGAAGTCCTTGAATATGGTTGAATATGCTAATTTGCCATTCGCTGAATATGCAAAGGGGAAATCTCTCTTTCCATCGCAATATTCTAGCAACTCTCTTAGGTTTGTACTACTACTACTCTTGGTGCTGCGTCCAGAGTTGCTATAGGTTATCCCGCTGAACATCGCACTGTCCTCGTCACTGCCTGTGTTATCGTTGTCATTCGGGTCACGGTTGATCTTCGTGGGCGCAGGGGAGCAAAATGGTATCGATCCTGTCATGATCTCATGGGCGATGGTCCCCAAAGCCCACATATCCACAGCTTGACTGTACTCTTCTTCTGGCCCCAATTCAATCAAATTACAGACCTCTGGGGCGATATATTGGCTTGTGCCGATTGCGGTCTTCATCACACTATCCTGGCTCGTTGATTTGGCAATGCCAAAGTCTGCAAGCTTCAGTCTTAGTGGTGATGTCGAAGCCACAAGTACGTTCTAAGAATGAGAAATTACGGTTAGCATTAGCAATTATGTTGCTCCAAACGTGGGAGGGGTGAATAGCAAGATTTGGAAAGACAAACCTGCGGCTTTAGGTCTCGGTGACAGAAATCATGTTGGTGCATTATCACAAGTGCCTCGAGAATTTGCCTAACAATTGTCTTACAGTTCTCCTTTGCCAGGGCTGGGTCATCCTCCATGTATGTCGATAAATCGCCTGCGGAGATATATTCCATAGCGATAAATACTGTACCACTGTTATCCGTGGCCCCGTACCATCCGTAGAAATCGACAAAATGATCTTTATGCTATAGACAACAGGTACCAGTTAGTTAACGGACTCATGGATACCATAACACTGGACTATTACCTTTCGCAGGGTTATCAGCGCATTCAACTCCCTCTTGATGGCCTTTATATCGTTCATGTGAGCGTTCCTGGTGATCGCTTTTACAGCACGAACCGAGTTTATTCCGTTCCTGGCATCTTTCCTTCTTTGGAGACACACCTCTCCGAAGGCCCCGCCTCCAAGCCTTCGTTCCTGAACCCAGACCTCATTGTAACCGTCCACCCTATGTGTGACAGTTGTGCTGCTGAGTGTAGTGTCGTACTTGAAACTTTGTAGTTTGGCGTTTAAGTCGTTGGCAGCTAAGGACGAGGGTTTTTTGGAGAGACCTAGACTTGTCCGCGAGGAAAAATGATCTACCGACGATAGCGCCGGGCTTGACACCGGGGTTGACTGGCGACTAGACGGGCGACTTGCCTGACGGTTTGACGGAGGATCTGATGGACGACTTAACGGGCGATCTAAAGGGTAATCGAACGGACGGTCAAACGAGCGATCTAACGGGCGATTAGATGGGCGGCCTGAGGGCCTATCTGACGGGCGACTTGACGGGCGACCTGACGGACGACTTGGGGTGCGCTCTAACGAGTAATCCCGCCTTGCCCGGTGCGCCTCGACCGCCGAAGGAATTGGCGGTGCAGGTCTATTAGGCATGCTGGTGGCCTTCCGATTTTCAGAGTCGGGATGTGAGCTTCGCTTGAAGAGTAATTGCCACCTGTTGGGGTGTCCGCTCATCTCTGGCCTATTCAGATGAATAAATGAGATGTAGTTATCGAAAGCTTGATGAAGGAGAATCTCCTTTATTTTAGCTGGCGAGTATTCGAGGCGTAGCCGTGGGATAGGTATGTGTATCTATACCTGGTTCTACAGCATATAGGTAAGTATATGTACCTATTTTCGACCAACTCACGCCAGGGAGGTAATATGCGTCTAGGATTTAATTGTGGGAAGGAAGCCGGCACCTACGTCTCTATGCCCTGCTCAATTCTCAGCCCGGATCAAGCCAAACTCACTGAGGTGCCTTTGGGTGTTCGGGAGGGAAAGAAGAGCGATATAAACCGTCTCTATGTGAGGAGGGAGGGGGGGTAATCTGTCACAGTCTAGAAAAATCTATCAAGCCCTCTGTAGTTTAATATTAATGCGATTGACCCCATCTTGAGCTTTCGAGTTAAATTGTTGAGCTATCCACACCAGGAGAATATCGATCGCCAACAGCTCAATGCTTGGGCCAAGAAGGGGTTGCAGATCTGTTCTGCGATTGGCGGGAAAGTAAGTGATCCAGGTGAGACGGAATATTGGTGGAGGGGATGTGGAATAGTGTGGCTGACTGTGGCTGACTGTGGCTTAGTATGTACCTGGTGTCAAAGGGTAGGTAGCACAAGCTGGAAGATATAGGTATTCCGTTGCATCATCGAGCAGTACCTACTCGCTGAAGGAGGGCGCGTAAATTGTTGATTAATTGATCGGACAGCTCGTTAGTGCTGTTTCACTCTAGCCAAGCTTCACTGAATTCTGCAATGCACGCAAATGCAATGTGCTTGACGTGTACAGTGGATAACCAGTCAGCATGGACATTCATTCGAGAACACAATGGGTTCAGCTATCACTGTCAATATCATGAATTGTCAACCGTATAGAAAAATCCCGTAGGTGGGTGTTACGGTACGTTCAATTCCAATAGAGTACAACTAACACCTACCACATGTATGTAAATACCGCTAAATCTCGAGTTATTCGGGTTGCCAAGGCAAAAAGCTGAGGATCTTCGCCTTTAGAGGAAGTGATCTTCAAGAAAACAGCCTCTTCTGCAGGATCTAAACTAAATGTAGTTTAGCAGGTGACCTTGGCAACTCCCCGAATAACTCGATTTTGCGGTACCTAGTACTAAGGTAAGGTATTGGCACGTCAGCCTTGGCATCCAAGTACCTGTCAAATGTGTGCTCATGTGCTCATGCAATAGCTGCCGTATTCGGAAAGCATTATGAGTATTGGTCACAGCTGCATAGAATATCACTCGAAAATGATTGTGATGGGTGCCAAGACCCCCTTGTTCAATCATCTTCAAACATTGTAATCAGAACCATGCATGCAAGTTGTATGTATGTACCTAGAGATCACTCAGTCGCGCTGACTCAGTGTCTCGGTTGAGCTAGAAATGGTGTAAAGATCGAGCGCCGATAAACAGCTTCTTATTCGCAGGAGATGAATAGGCACAAGGCTGAAAACGCACTTTCATCAAAAGAAACTAATCCAGTTCTACCAGAGACTAAATCACCACGTCAGAGATAGTGCCTAGAAAACTTGATCGAAATGGTGGAAAGCATGGATATTCGGCACTCTTCTGGCGTACTTCTAAATCTTCGGTGCAATTTTTCCCGGCTAGTATTCGAAACGGGCCAACGAGTGGTCGCCCCAAGAGTATGTATGTGGTTCAATAGGGTGATCTATCCTTTGGATGATGAAACTCTCAAAGTTGTAGCCTTCTACTCTGAGAACACTAAAGCGCTGTTTAGTGCGCAGCATTGAGTCATGATTAATTGTGAAAAAGCAAAAACGTTACTTGGGTTCCTGGGTGCACGGACCACAGTGCTGGGAGTTTGATAAGTTCGGCTAGGTCCTTTCGCATGCATAAACCAACTGGCCGCTATGAAAATGGGTGTTACGCTCGATAATACACAAGAAATATTGGGTGTAGAATCACACTAAGATAGGAAATCTGAATGTGGCGGATCAGTAAACTTTGAGATAAAATAGAAGCCCGAACAACACCGGTATATAATTGATGCAAGAAGAAAGATAATAAAGAGTACATACATACTAGATTTATCCCTTGGACGGATGAAACTCTCAAATTCGCGACATCCCTCTTTCCGCTATTACTAGCCTTATATGGTAACTGATGCTGATTTTTGATTCGCCGTATTGTTATTGCCACACATAAAAAGAAAAACAGTTACCTTACCAAGTGCGTGCACGGTCCATGTCGCGAATTTGAGAGTTTCATCCGTCCAAGGGATAGTATGAGATTGTCCATTACATGTACATATCGATATCAATATCCGTTTAACCATAGTCTAGTATACTTACACTTAGAAGTCTACCTGAGGAGGTACACTGACTTCAAGTACCTTACTTTTAGTAGAAAGGCGGGCATTCGTTTATGTAATTTGCCCCGGGGGGGGGAGGGGGGGGGGGCATAGGTACCATTATGGGATAGTATTTGGATGTGTAGCGGTTTTTGGCGTGGAAGGGACTCGGAGAATAAAAACCGAAGAGTTGAAAACAAAACAAAACAAAAACAAAAAAGCTCATCTACACTCTCAATGTTTACCCATCCGGATATTCAGATCCAAGACGTTCAAATCTTGCATAGTAACGGCTCGCCGCATCAAACTCTATATAACTAGACTGGAGCAAAGTGAAGAAAAAATAAAGCCTCTAAGCAGGATATCGATATCTGCAAATGGGTAATCGATATTTCTTTTGGCACTTTTACAAGATATTGTGGTTTTGGTTGGTAGTTTGGTCATCCGCAGTGTGTGAGTCGGCATAGACCTCCCAGGGCCCGCGGGCGTGGGGGAATTCCACAGATCGCATTTGAATTCCCACCTGAAACCTCCAGAACCATTGACGGGATCACTTTCCTGGAATGCTATTTACAGTCTGAATTTATAGCCGTTATCGAAGAGTGACTGGGTTGACCCTGAACTCCAGGCACTAACGACCTACCTCAATATATGTTCTCGAAGTTATTCTCGACCATATGTAATTGATCCATACTACGATATGAGGTACTTCGTATTCCTAGCGACTTCGGGGCCTGTTGAGATTCCCGAAACGTTTATTGCTGCGATGCTTTTGTGATGGGGGCATTTGCGCAGCTATATAGTTTTGCATAGAAATACCAAACGATATATAGAGTAAGTGTAAAATCGTGGATGCGTTGTTGGCCGCGTATACATACATATAGAGAGTTCAACCCTCTCCACCTTTACCTTATACCTGAGAGAGATCCTAATTCAGGGGGGTAGTTATCAGGCTACCAAAATGTCTCGGTAGACACTGTAGGTATGCCATATTCTAGGGGTGATATCGATACCAGGGCATATAGAGGAGGTTGTGAAGAACTACGTGGGGCAAAGTGCAATTGCAAGTCTTAAGCAATGTACTCTATTCCTTAAGCCGGATCCAAATCGTGTTACTCAAACCCAATATGGAAGTCGATATACAAAGAACTATGAATAGCTCCTCAATGTTTAATTTACAGTACCGGTTCTCATCCCCAAAACAGCGATGCGGTGTTTATATCACGACTTTCGTATGGGGTTTGAGTAACACGATTGGGATCCCATTTGACGTCGTAGGGGATAGCACTATGAAGAGTCTTTATGAATTGCTTGCATTTCCCTATAGGTGATAGGTTGTCCGTAATCTCGCTCTAACAACATTGATTAATATGGTATCTAGCACGCGTAGCTGGTAAAAAAATCAAAGCAGAATCGACTTTCCAAAGTTTTGGGATATAGGGGAGATTGAACACTATCTCGGGATATCTAGCGTGTGCCTAGTGGTCTAGTATATCGACATGTGCTTCCCGATCAAGCTACGACTCATGGAATATCACTCGCAAACATGTAGGTCTCTCTTTTTTTTTTTTTTTAATTCATTAATTGCATGGAGTAAATCTCTTGTTAGTTATGTATCATCATAGCCACAATGTGTTATAAAGAGAGGTCCTATTATGAAGGGGGTTGTAGAATAATCCCTCTATCGCTCTTCTATTGCTTTGGGCCTTACATGGTTAGGAGTTCATCAGGGTTAGGGTTCGTTGCAACCGATTTCCCCTTAGTACAAGGCTTTGGGATATATAGTATTATACATCTGGACATTCGTATTAAAACTCGTGGTTGTTTGTTGGTCGCTCCCTTATATACGTATACATGATTGATATGTATTTCTCTATAGGCATATTTGAAGCAGAAAGGCAAAAGGGCGCCTCTGATTGCGTTGATAAGACAAAGAATACAGAAGGTATGCGTGCGGACCGTGATTTGAGGTACAGAACGACATCTGGAGTTAGAGGTCTTGGGGGGGGGGGGGGTGCAACCGTTTTAGGTCCATAGGCTAGTAGAAACGGGCAAAAGGAGAAAGGTTGGTGCATGGGTAGATCTCCAGAACTCTTTATAGTAAGCTTTCTTCATGGTGATAATGTTGAGCTGTTGGTTTAAGATATGCTGAATCGAATCCTAGCTGCTGAACCTGTAAGATTCCCTATTAAACTCTACACTAGGGAATGGGGAGGCTACTCACCACTGAAAAGTCCTATCGTTGACTAGATGCCCTTATAAACAGAGGTTTTAATCGGCCTGCTTGGGCTTGAAAACATTTGGACTCGCCCAAGCCCAGCAAACCCAACCGGGGCCTAGCCTGGCCCATATATATTGGCCTAATCCCGGGATTTTTCGATAATTCATATGATGCTAAGAAGGTATATCTGACTGTTTATTGTGATAAAACCCTATATCTATCCGAAGAGCTTCTTTTCATAGAAAGAAAGTGGGGTTGGGGATGGTAGATATTTTGAAAATATGTACTATTTTGGCCTATATGAATGAACCGTAAAGCCCGGGCCTCAATCGCCTTAGAACCCAGCCTGGCCCGGCCTCAAACACCCTGGCCCAAGCCCGGCCTGGAAGGCCAAATCCCGGACCGGCCCGTATAACCTGAGGCCTATCAAAACATCTGCTTATAAATGCTATATATTCTCTTCGCTATTACAAAGGATCCTGGATACCTAGAGGAGACGTCTCCCAACCCTTCGCATCTGGACCTGGTTAGAATTCAAAGACGGGAATAAATATTGTTTCCTTGTGTATTGAGGTTCCTTCTCAATTCTCCGCCAGACTTTCCAAAAGCTTTTAATCTGGTACTTCGTCATACATATATACAGACAAACGCCACATATAGAGGTACCACTAGGCGATGCTGTTTCAGCTAGACCCACCTGTGGGAAGGCATGCAAGGTCAATGCTTAAATATAATATATCCAACAATATAGTAGAAGACCCAGAGTACAGGATCTTTACCTAAAGAATCTGAGTATTAGCCTGTGTGTGCTGAGTGTGTGAAGGACACCTTTTTTTTTTACTCACATTACTCGCGACAGGTAACAAGAACCTGAATATAAAATACACTAGCAGGGGTAAAAGTGGTTGCTAGCAGAAAAACCATGTTTAGGTTCTTCTTGCCTGCCGGGGGGGTATGGAGCTCTGTTGGGGTGTACCGTGGGGTGTAGCATGCAGATTATAACGCGTGTGTAATCCTGGTAACTACATGCATCACTGCCCGGGCCAGGACCAGATTGAGATCACATATTCTCACTCGGTCTCCGAGTGAGCATATGTGAGCCTCATACAGGAAGCCAGCGCAGGTGTCCGGGGAGGCGGAACCTTGAATAAGCGAAACAATAACATGGGGTTACCAAAGAGCGCTAGTTTCTAGTATGTGTGTTGAAACGAGTATATCCCCTGGATCGTAACAGCCGATATTGTGGTCCTTTTGGACCAATATTTTCTTCCGGTTTTTTCACCTAGAGGTACGCCCCTAGAGTACAAACTTTGTTAGGGATTGGGATAGCATATCCCGAAAATCGGGATAGGTTATCCCGTGGGAGGATAAGATCGGGCCGATTCGTCAACTTTGGATGAGATACCCTGCTGCGCGGGATACCGCCGCTAATAGAGCCTTTTGTAACCCCTGGTGGGGATGACATGGCGTGTATCCCTTCTCCTAGATTTGTACTCCTTTGGTAGAGATACAGGCGGTTTTATCCTACGTTTACCCCCCCTCAAAGGATAATGACGTGATATCCCGTCGCGTTACCCCCCTGTAAGGATAATCTCACGAAACTTAACTGTGGTGTTGAGTTTGCATAAGTAATAATATCCTCAATTCGTCGTAGCTACCCGTGTATCCCCCTATTGGGTTGAGATGCCTCTTGTATCCTCCTATTAGGTTGAGATACCTCTCTTATCCTATCGATTGGTGAAGATATCCCCGGCGGGATATAGTAGGCGGTTGAATCTTAATATTAGGATATCATATCTATAATCAGTCGGATCCATCTAATCGAGTATCTCTCCACCGGGATACACAATATGCTGACGCATACCCACCCTCGCGATATAACCCCCCTCTCGGGATATTACCTATCCTTTGGGATATCACCCCCTCGGGATAACAATATAAATATAATATCTCTAAGTCAGAAAAATATTGTCGCTCGCGGAGTATCGTATCCTTCTATGTGGATATACTGCATTCGAGCCTTCTCTGTGGGATAGCGCTACCGTACTGATAAGCACGCCCACGCTGCATGTATATTAGCATCTCTGGCTAATAATCTTATCCCTGGTCGACGATAACCGTTGAAGAATGCTCTCTCCGCAGGGCTAATATTGGGCTAGCACCAATCGCGTTAGTCGTTTATGCTCACGCAGCTGACCGAAACATTCCGTTTCGTTGAAACAAATATTGATATGAGCTTGAAAAAAATCTCACAAAAAGCAATATACGTTTAAACTGCGTATTTCGACCGAAAGCGCCAAAACGATCTTTTTTCGAAAAATCAGGCCCCTATGCCAAGATACGGGATTTCTTGGCAAAAATAATGCTTACTAGGGGCCTGATTTTTCGAAAAAAACGTGGAATTTGCGCTAATGAGAGCTAATTCGTATTAGGGAAGCATGCTATACTCGCCTCCTTCATCTATCTCTTTTCCACTGTATTGACCTCGTCTTCCCCACAATATACCGTCGCTGCTCCTTCTTTAGCAGCCCAATCAGCTCTTTGATATCCTCCACCGGTACTAATTCAAGCTTAGGTTTCTCACGTACATCACTGTATACAAGGAGTCCATCAGCGTAGACGGGATACCATTCGATAAAGGCCATCTTGTACGCAGGGCGGAGCCTCGATGCAGCCTCCACGTGTCCTTCTTCAGGGGATATACTAAAGAAATAACGCACTTCACCAAATGCACTGCGAGTATAATCGTCATCCTCTTCATCCTCTTCATCAACCCTTACATTGGCGCGCACCTCCTTCTCGTTCAGAACCTGCTCGTATCTGACCCACGATGCTGTCTTTGTTTCGCTACGGGGGGACATGTCGGCAGAGGGAACAAGGAAGCTCTCACTAGCTTGGTCCGGATTAACGAATACAGCTCTATACCTCTTCATGGTGCTGCTCGGAATAGCTTCGGGAGGCATCAACGGGGCACCCTCTCCCGAAGGATTGAAGACCGTGATATGCTTCAGTAGGAGCTCAGTGTCGAAGAAGGTCTGTAGGCAGGAGGTCTCCGCTTCCCGGAATACGTGTGTCTTTGCTTTCCCTTTAAGGTAGATGCCGTCGCTCGTCTCAGAGAGCCGGATATCCGATAATTCTTTCCCTTTCTCACGGTTTTGGTATGCCTTTACGATACCTATATATATCTCATATATTTTAGCACCGTCAACATGCCTGGGCGCCTCCTCTTCTATCTCGGACTCTTCTCCGTCTAAACCTGCCGCTACATGCTCTTCGGTACGTATCGTGAAGCTGAGGTGATTCTTTTATTCTTCAAGGAGTATTAAATTTGCTAGGTTCTAGTTTGCCTTTACACGGGACCTGACCTTCGATGTCAGTAGTCCACAGAGGCGCTGCATTGGATACTGCCAGTACACCCAACCAGGGCCTACATCCTCGATGCACTCTGCTACATGGGCGAGGGAGTGAAAGACAGGGCGCATAGCTGATAGACGTGCCCAATCTCGACGATAGTACCTACGCTCGTAATACCTCATGAAGCGTGCCATCGACTGGCGTATGTCCCGGCATTCCGATGATGTAACCGTGTAATCGCAGGAGGTACGTACTGCACTCACGAAGGTCATGAATTCCTTGTAGTCCTCGTTGGGGAGATGTCCTTTGAGATACACGGGAGCGAATATCTGGCACCAATTAGACCACTCCGCCGCTTTCCATTTGTGAAAGTGGTCATACACCGACCGTATGGCATCACCGAATGCTGTAGGAAACGTTGCTCGACTTCTTTCCATGTCTTTACCAATAGCCTCCCATATCTTTGGATCGAGGCAGTAGGGATCGTCAGTTTTTTCGAATTTCTGGATTCTCATACGTTTGGTCTGCTTCTTTGACTTTGATAGAGTCTTCCTGTTTGGAGAAATGCCAGTGCTAAGTGATAATTCTGTAGCGTTTAAACTGATGATATTGTATACCGGATTCCCTTGACTTGATGGTTGATGATCCCCTCAAGTCATCGCAGAATCCTGTCCTATTTATACATATGGGAACCTATACCAAGGCCCGCTTTCTGATACTAGCTGATACAACAATAATAGAATAAGATAATGCTCCTGAAGATAACCCAGATAGAAAAGCGTCCCCGCATAGTTCCGCCCCTTCACTCTAATTCCGACATGTAACCATGAACCCTGCAATTGCCAGTCATCAGGCTGCATCATACTATTGTCCTAGACCTACTTCCCTAAGTAGAACAGCCTGCAGTCGTAAGCCCCGCTTCCTATTCTATTCCGGGTGAGACACCCAACAGTAAGCGTGCCATCACAATAGTGTAATACTAGTTTGGTAACACCGCCTGCCCCCACACTACCCGATATCTTTCTATGCTTGTCCTTCCGTTACCCGTTCGTCCTCGAATCACAGCCCGTCAGTCGTAATCCTCGATGTTTTTAACCTCAAGAACAATGTTTCGTGATTCCTGTAACACTATTCCCCCTTCCTAGACGTTGCCCTCGACCGTTAAAACTATTTTATGATAAAAAAAACCCTGTGGGAAAAGTCATAGAGTAAGGAAAGGTATCGAGCTTAGTCACGCCTGTTCCGTTGTCTTTTACAAGCCCGTTCATCATCGATTGCCTTGACTTCGCGTATGAGGTCGTATCTTCGAGGGTGGCTGGAAGTTTTCGTCCGCTAAGGCCTCCTGTGGCTCGGGTGTTATCAGTTGTTTTCGTGTATTCTGCTGACTAGTGGAATTCGGGTCCTCGCGGTAGAGTCGTAGCAGCATTTTGTGGAACATATCATGAACCTTACATTCTATCGGAAGCCTTACATTCTATCGGAAGTACGAGACGGTAAGCACGATTGCCCACCACTGTGGATACCTTAAATGGTCCTGTGAATTTGTCTGACCACTAGGAGTATCCTCCTAGGTTTCGAGTATCCAGCAAGACTTTCTGACCGATAGTGAACCGTGATGATTTCGTCCAAGTAATTGTTCCCGTTGGCATCTAAACGTTCAATCTCTGCATCCGTAGGCCAATCCGTTCGGGGGTGGAAGCCATAGTTGCAATAGAATGTTGATTGTCCTGTCGACGTATGTTTTGCATTATTGTAAGCGTACTATTCGCAGATAGGTAGCAGATCTTTCCACTTCTTGCCTGTTCCTGACATGTATGCCCGAATTTAATCCTCCATATGCTGGTTGGTCCGTTCTGTTTGGCCGTCGGTCTGCGGGTGGAATAATGTCGAGAGTCTCCTACGAATCCCCAATCTTTCCATGATTGCCGTCCAAAATGCTGACACGAACTGTGTTCCTCTGTCTGAGACGATTCTCCTAGGAAGTCCGTGGAAATGCTAGATGGCTTTGATGAATGCGTTAGCGGTTTGTTCCGAGTTGATTCCCGTCATTGGAATGAAGTGAGCCATTTTCGTAAAACGGTCCACGACTACCAATACGTTACGGAATCCTGATTTCTCCTCAGGCATTTCTACTACAAAATCCATCTAGATTTCAGTCGAAATTGTGGTGGCTAACTCTAGGGGTTGAGGGAGTGACAAGTGTCTCCGACGTTGTTTGGCTCTCTGGCATACATCAGCAAACCCGTAACCTCCGCCAGACGCTCTGGATGCTCCAGGCGCACTGGGCGCTCGGTAGACAAACTGCCTCTCCAGAGAAGCAAGGAACGTTCCTGGCGCCTCCTGGCGCATAGCGTTCCGCCCTGGCGAGCACCAGTTTACCCTGCGCGCCCAGGCGCGCACTAGTGCAGCTAGTGCGTCCCGAGCGCAATACGCTCACCCTGACGGGGTGAGCTCGCGCCTGACGCTATCCAGGAGGTGTAATCCTTCCCGGACGCTCTCGCGACGGAATGCTTTTACTCCTGACGCTATCCCGACAGAATGCTCTCTCGCCTGATGCTATCCCGACTAAAGGCTCTCTTGCGTGACTCTCTCCCGACGGAATGCTCTCTCGCCTGACGCTCACGCGACGGAATGCTCTCTCGCCTGAGACTACTACCTATCTCCTGGGCGCTCCTGGAGCTCTCTGACGACTCCTGGGCATATCGCTAATGTTTCTGGAGCACTCCCGACTGCTCCCGCAATGCCCAACGCACCGCATTTTACCTTTCAGCGCCCTGTTTTTATCAGGCATATTACTGTTAGCTTTAGTAGGCACTGCTTTGCAGAGCATCCAGAACCGTAATTCTATTACTAAATACTAACACTACAAACGTCTAGAAATCGCCAATCGGATATAATACAGGTATATAGGTATCTCCCCAAAGCACTCGCCGCTGCTCTCCAAAGCACTCGCCGGTGCGCTATAGATCATCTTCCTCCTCGCCTTCCTCGCGATCCTCCTCTTCATCCCTCCCCTCGCCTTCATCTTCCGCTTCAATGCCCCGAAGTTGAGCGTGAACCACCTCTTCCTGGCCGTTACCGTTGTCGGAACCAGAGATATCCCCTGGAGCACTCGGGGGTGCTCTTCGAGCATTCCGGAATGCTGCAAGATCCGCCGCTAACGCTTCATCGTCCTCGCTGAATCCATCTTCGGGTATCACCTCGATAGTGATGCCCTTCTTCTCTCGTATCTATCAAGGTTAGCCTCCGTATTTAGAAAAGCACCCCACCATTGTAGCATCCATCCTTATAGCACACCTTTTCCCGGAGGTTATCCTTGATCACCTCCAACGTTGCCTCCTGGTTCTGCCTACTCCTCCCCTTCCATGTGTTGCTCATCCTGTTGAACGTTTCTACTCGTATTCAATGTCAGCGTGGAGATACACTATAGCCCTGGGAGCGCCCGTCACTGCTCTCAAAGCACTCGCTATAGCTGTAAGGGGATGTGAGAGGATCGGGGATGCTTACTAACAACACTCTCATTCTGTGACTGGAAATGGTCAGGCTTCACGTATGTTCCGGCTGACCATGCCCGAATGCCATGCCAAATAGCAGTCGATATCAGGCAAATAAAGGTAGGGGTAATCCGCTCAAGGAACTCGGGGTCTTTTACCCCTCGCATCCTGACCCCATCAAAGTATTTATAGTACAATATGTCGATAATCTCTGGTGCAAGAAACCGTAGACGGTAGGTCTAGTATCTGTTAGCAGCGTTCGCGAGTGCTCTCCAAGCATTCCAGGTGTCCGGGTGCTCTCCGAGCATTAACACCCGAGTGCTCTATTAGCACCCCCGGATGCTCTCTGGGGATTGATCATACCTCATAATGCTGCGCAGGACTCAAGAAGCGATCATTCTTCAAAAGATACTCTACTTGAGCAGCCTTCGCCTCAGGACTCGAGAGCTTTCCAAGCCTATAGTTGGTCGAATCCGCCAGGCGCCCTTTAACCTCGTGCATCAAGTGCGAACGAACTCGGGAGTGTAGACTTCTGACCTATCGTTGTCAATTATGCTTCCAGAGCACTCGTCAACGTTTCAAGAGCATTCACCTGTTTGATAACAACCTCGTCGAGATCTACCGTACATCCCACCCTGCGACTGGCAGCTGCCCACATGTTTACTACCAGGACCGAAAGCCTCGCTGCAGGTGGAAAAGGCTCATGTAGAAGAGTGTGGTCCCCGATTAGCGTGCTGCACTCCTTCTCAATCCTCTGGGCTTGCATTGAGAGAACGTTTGCACTCCTCGAGCTAGGTAATAGGGATCTCTGTGATAGGTTGCTCGCATGAATGTTAACTGTGCTCTCAAAGCGGTCGTCAGTGCTATCGGGAATACTACTAACCTCGCTTTCTGCTATAGGAGCATTTCCTTCCCTAATTGACGACGAAAGCTGTGCAATATCGTAGACTCTTGGTTGCGCTTCTGGTAAATATACCTGAGGGCTTGAGGGAATCCGGGGACTGCTCATAGAGCTCTCGCCAACGCCCTCAAGAGGCGGGGAGGCACGATAAGGGCGGTAAATGGGTGAGGAATCGCCGTACCTCGAACGAATCGAGGAAAGATCGATGTGCCGTGAAGAAGAGCTGTAGTCAATATCGCGAGAATAAACAGGTATAGAAGAAGGCATGGGCTGTGAGGATATCGGATGTGCTCTCTGAGTTGCCGAGAATGCTCCCTGAGATGCCGGGGATGATCTTTGAGATGCTTCCTGGCTGGGTGCCGGAGTGGGTTTGTAGGATGCGGTGGGCGCCCACTGGGATGCGTTCTGTCTGGGTGCCGAAGTGGGAGCTGCTCTCCGTACTACATTTGCACCCGGACGTGCTCCCCTCTCAAACGTTAGCGTTTTGACCTTAACATTAATGAGTGGGATGGAGTCAAACCTGTACCACATCCACCGACACGTCGGAGGAAGCAATAACCTCCGCTACCGCTCCGGTTGGTCTCCTCCGAGCATTGCCCAGTGCTCTGGCAGTAGTCGGCTGTACTGTACGAGGCCTCTTCCCCATACTCTGGGATCTCTGCTGGGTGGAAGCTTGAGATTCTTCTTCCACGTCATCCAGATTCTCTTCAGAGCTCTCCTGGGCGTTCTCTGGGGTGTCGTCGTACTCCGAGTGGCTAGTATCGGCGGTTTCCTCCACCTCTTGCACTTCAACGCTGCCAGTATTGCCATCGGGGAGATGGAATTCTACCCTTCTAGGGCTGCTTCTTCCAGTCGATGTGTCGGTAGAACGGAGAAGCCCTTTACGCGCTATTGGGGCGGTGGTCGACTGACTGCTCCGAGTGCTGGTCGATTGACTACTCCGAGTGTTAGTTGACAGTGCGGTCAATGCTCGGAATGGTATTTCAGACCCGTCAGTCTGTGAATCATCATGCTCTTTGGGTGGTACTGGGAGTCGTGGTCGCTTTGTGGAAAGAGGTGTAGAACCTGCGGATCGCTTGTTGAGAGGCATTCTGCTTGCTGGCAGGAGTATCCAATGTGCTCTAGGAGCATTCTTCTGCGTGTTTTGATTAGAAATCAACGCTTGGCGACAGAGTTTTCGTCGCCAAGCAAGAAGAATTTTCACCGCTAACCTCCTATGGTATCGATCCGCTCCACCGCATCCCGGTCCGCTCACCCGAATCCGAGTCATTTCTAATCACTCGTTTTACTGCACTTTCTAAAGCGATAACGAGTGCTCTGAGAGCAATGTAGAAGTTTGAGCCGATTGCAATTCAATTAAGAAGAAATGGAAGAACGTAATCAAATCTAATCTAATCTAATCTAATCTAACATAGGAAAATATAAAACGATGAAACCCATCTATTCATATAAAGAGATCTAGACATCAAATAGCACCGGACCAAATCCCAGGAGCACTGGCCAGTGCTCAGAAAACAAGACATACCGCTATTCAGAGGTAAGCGATCGTTGAGCAGAAAGAGAGACGAGAGATTATACCAAAGAAGAGTAATGATGCCAATAGCACTCGCAAGTGCTCAGAAAACAATACACACCCCTATTCAGAGGTAAGCATTCGTTGAGCAGAAAGACAGACGCGAGATTATACCAAAGAAAACTAATGATGCCCGCCATCACCACCACCGCCGCCACCACCACCACCACCACCACCGCCCGGAGGTCCGCCCGGAGGAGGATTACCACCGCCCGGAGGTCCGCCCGGAGGAGGATTACCACCGCCCGGAGGTCCGCCCGGAGGAGGATTACCACCGCCCGGAGGTCCGCCCGGAGGAGGATTACCACCGCCCGGAGGTCCGCCCGGAGGAGGATTACCACCGCCCGGAGGTCCGCCCGGAGGAGGATTACCACCACCACCGCCACCGCCTCCACCACCACCACCGCCTCCACCACCACCACCGCCTCCACCACCACCACCGCCTCCACCACCACCACCGCCTCCACCACCACCACCGCCTCCACCACCGCCTCCACCACCAGCAGCCGCGAGTGCGTCAGCAGCTCTCTTGGCTGCTATCCCGGCAGGCGTCCAGATTACTCCCTGTACAAAGTTCGGGTCAGCAACCCCAACACCCAAAAGATATTTCCTCAGGTATTTGGGGTCTAAGTCGTCGATAGCATCCTGCTGTCTATCTCGAGGTCTAACAAGAGTCTGGATTAGCCTTTGATTACTGGCATCAGTTCTGGGTAAATATACCCTCAGTCCTTTAGCATTGATGCGGTGGCTTCCCTCCTCGTAATCAGAGTCCTCTGCAGGAATATCGATCATGGTATAATCGTCTTCTTCGATATGAGGGAATGCTCGGTTCAGCGGGGGTGATTCAGCGCCACCCAAATTAGCACCCGCGCCTGCTCTGTGGAGCACCGCCAGTATTCTCCTAGGCCTGCCAACGCTATTCTTCAACCAACCTTCGACCTCTTCCGAATCAGTGATTTGGACCTCCATTGGCCGAACAGGTGGATTGGATGCCGGTGGAACGTTATCCAGTGCTCCCCAGATACTCCTGATTGCTCTGCCGGGTGCGGTGTGCTTCAGGATCAAATTGCAGAGCTCTGGAAACGTTATCTTTGTCAGAATTCCAATGAACGAAGGCTCATTTTGTGGATCGTTCCAGTCATAGGTAGGAGGCGGGACAACGTTGAAGAATGCTCCTAGAGCATCGGGGTCTACCACCGTGACCATTATGGAAGGTCTATCGAGATCTGCGGACACTGGATCCCGTTTACGCTTCCTAGAGCGTTGGGCGGGCTGTCCACCGTCGTCATCATCATCACTATCGCCGGCAGCTTCTCTGTACTCGCGATTTCCCTGCCCTCTCGATAGCTTTTCCTTCTGTCCAACATCACCAATCAGCAACTTCAAAGCGTCCGCGAGTGCTCTACGGTCTTCAGAATCGACTCCTGTCCAAATAGGCAGGAAAGCGCGGACGGAGCGTAAGTTCATCAAATTAACCCAACCAACGTTCTGCATCTGCGCTTTGAGGCTGTTGCGGATGTTAGTGTACACTTTAGGTAGGTTGAGCAAACCTAAAGTCATTTTTGCTTTATTCGCCTGAGTCATTCTGAATTGACCTTGAGCGGTGGGAGATGCTTCCGGAGCACTCGTGTATGCTACCTGAGCACTCGGGGGTGTTTCTGGGGTACGGGCTCTGCTGCTTCGTCTCTGCTCTACCGGTGAAGGAGTGTCTAATGCTCTGGAGGGGCCAGCAACTGAACTCTGTATTGGTAGCCGGCGAGGGGGTCGGGTTGCTGTCTTTGGTGCTCTCTGTGAAGCACTGACGGTTGCTGCTGGAGCAGTGGAACGAACTGGAAGCACGGCTCTACGGACAGGGGCTGGTGGTGGTGGCGGTGAGCTGCCGAGTTCTGGGGAATCACTGGGGACTCGTAAAAGTGCCCGTCTTCTTCTTCTTCGGGGTGCCGGGCTTGCTGCCGGGCTTGCTGCTGGGCTTGCTGATGGGCCTGCTGGGCTTGCTGCTGGGCGTGTTGCTGAGCGTGCTGCTGGGCGTGCTGCTGGGCCTGCTGGGCCTGCTGCTGGGCGTGCTGCTTGGTGCTTTGCTGAGTGTGTTGCTGGGCCTGCTGCTGAGCCTTCGCCGTTGGAGTCAGAATCAGATTGCAATGATATCCACTGCTTTGGGAAGAGTCCTTCAGCGTTTTTAGGGCTCTGGCTGAGGGGGGCAACGCTAGGAGGCGCTTGCGAGTGCTGAGGGGGAGGTGGTGGGAGCTGCGGGGGAGGTGGTGTGAGCTGCGGGGGACTTGAAAGCACTGGCGAGTGCTCCGAGGATGTCTCTGCTATCTCTTCCGGGGTAGCCTTTAGAGTTTTCCGCGACTTTCGACGTGAGGAACGGGAAGATCTATGCTTCTTGTGTTTTCGGCGGGAGCGTTTGTAGCTACTACTGCTACTGCTGCTACTACTGCCACTATTATCAGTACTGCATTCGTCTGAATCTTGATCTCGATGGCGCCTCTTTCGACTTTTGTGAGGTTTTTCGATATTCTGTGAGCGCTTGGGAGTGCTCTGAGAGGAGTTTGGAGTCTATTGTAAATGTGTGATGAATATGGTTCAGAAAGCAATCGGGTTAAGGAAGATATACCATCTTATATATGATTGCAAAGTGTATAGCTTGAAAGCTTGAACTTGAAACGAAACTTGAAAGCTTGAACTTGAAACGAGACTTGAATGCGCTTTCAAGAGGTAATCTTGAAAGCTTAGATAGCAGAGCGCTTGAAGTGATAGGTAGTGCTGGACTTGAAATTCAAGATGGTTAGGAATATCTCACGAACTGGAAGGAGGAGAAGGGTGCTCTTATACCGAGTACAATCAGCTTTACCAGGCTCATCATCGTCCTTCCTAGAGCACCACCATATGCTATACGAGCACTCGAGATTGCTATAGAAGCACTCGAGGGTGCTGTACGAGCACCCTCGGGTGCTCCTACCATGCTGAATGTTTGCTCCCATACATGACGTGGATGAATGCTCTAGGCGCACTCGAAAATGCTCTGGTGGTTTGATTCAATTTGAAATGACGTAGATGAATGCTCTAGGCGTACTCGAGGATGCTCTGATGGTAGCATCGATAGTGGTGTCGGCAGCATTCCGGTGTTGGGTTGGTGTTTGTGTTCTTGTTGGTATCGGTGCTCTGTGCACTAGGAAGCTGAGTCGGAGAGAATCTATCCTTTGAGATCGTAGTCGATATTGGTGTTGAATTTGGCGCTGAGAATAGTCTCTCGATCTGAATAGCATCCGCGAGTGCTCACAGAGAGTGTGCGAGTGCTCAGAGGGTAGAACGTAGCATCGCTGGCGGCCTGATTGTGGTGATTGTTGTTTCTTCCTGTTGTATTTGTGTTGGGGTTTGTGTTTGCATTATTCGGTTGGAGATGTATGACGTCAAAATCTGCCTCGCTATGGTGGAGGTGCGAGCGCAAGGCTCACAATCATTTGGCGAGTGCTCTGTAGCGAGCACTCCGCATGGGGTGACAAATCGCTTGTAGAGCACTCTGCACAACCGCTTGGCAGCGAGAGCCTCATGTGGTGACTAATTGCTATTAGAGCACTCTGCACCACCTGCAGGAAAGAGCCTCCTCAGCCTTGGCAGACTGCAAATTCTCGAATTCAATGAAATCGTCTTGCCCTTTTTGCAGCAAGAAGTACAGCTCCTCCGCAAACTTTGACAGACATCTTCGAACGATCCATCCTCTGGAAGCAGATGAATGGTTGGGAAACCAATATTCGCTCCTGGAGCACGATCAACCTGCGGAGACTCCCGATGACACTGATGAAAGCCCAGAGAGCATTCCCGACTGCTATTCAGACACGCATTACGCTTCGGAGTCGGATAGTTTTGACCAAGATTCCGGTAACAATTCGGACCTAGAATCTGAATCATATTTCGTGATGGAAGAGGCAGACGGCGATTTAAATGGACATAAGGCATCTACAACAGTTTATGAGGGTGCTGGGGAACCACTTTACCGCTCGGAGGACTACGACGAATGCTCACAGAGCCTTCTCCGATACCCATGGCACCCATTCAGGTCAGCATACGAGTTCAGAATGGCAAGGTATTTCGTACTGTCCAAAGCCTCCCAGGGAAACATCGACAGCTTCTTTCTACACGCTCCGCCAAGCTGTGACGAGTGCTCCTACAGCACTGGGCGAGGTTTTATCAAGAGGCTGGAGGAAATGAATGACATATTGGGAAAGTCGAGCTGGAATCATTCGGAGGTGGATATTGGGGGGGAGAAGATCTCTTACTACTACCGGGATCCAATGGTAGTCGTCCGATATCTTTTGGGGCAACGTGCCTTCCGGGAGTCATTGGTGTACTCGCCGGTGGTGGAGCATAATGAATTCGGCGAGCGAATGTACGGGGAAATGCATACAGGAGATTGGTGGTGGGAGATACAGGTCCGTAGGCCTCGCCCTCTCAACTTGAACTCCGAGTACTCCAGGAGATGTCGCTAATGCTTTCTCGATAGAATACGTTACCGGAGGGGTCCACTGTCGTACCAATTATCTGCGCGTCGGATGGCACACATCTGACAAATTTTAGCGGGGACAAGAAAGCCTGGCCAATCTATCTTACCATCGGGAACATCAAGTCGTCGGTGCGCAACAAGCCCACAGGGCATTCATTCATTCTCCTAGGGCTTCTACCTGTGCCACCGAAGCTCGGGAAGAATACAACACTCGCTAACTCCGTTTTACGACGTCAGAGTCAAATGGCGCTGCACCGCGCTCTTGGGGAGATCTTTCAAAGCATTCGCGAGTGCTCTCAGGAGGGCGAGTTAATCAAATGCGCCGATGGCTACGAACGACTATGCTTTCCGGTGCTCTCGGGCTGGATCGCTGACCAACCCGAGCATTCAAACTTGCAAAACATTAGCACTAGTGCTTGCCCAAGATGCGAGGTGGAGTTTCACAATCTTGGGAGCACTCGTCGAAGCTCTATGCGCAGTCACGAGGACTACAGGGAGAGAGTACAGCTATTTAGCGAGAATCCGGGCAACCTGGAACCGGTAGAATACCTTGTTGCGAGATCGGTCAAAACACTTTTCAATGCTTTCTGGGGTATGCCGAGGGTTAATCCGTACGATCTCAATAAACCGGACATATTGCACAATATCTACCTGGGGATGTTGAAGCACATGATGGAGTGGATTCAGGGCTTCTTGAAGAAGCATCACCGATTGAAGGAGTTCGACAGCGCTTGGGCTTCGATTGCGCCTTACCCTGGGCTGGCAGTACCAAACAAAGCATATCGTTCTACCACCCAATGGCAAGGGAAAGAGATGCGCAATCTGGGGCGGGTCGTTCTGGGAGCACTCGCGGCTGCTCTGAGAAACCCGGGAGTGGCTGCCAGGAGCGACTTCGCAAAAGCGTTGAAATGTGTTCGAAGCCTAATAGACTTCCACTTAATGGCGCAATATGGGAGTCATACAACGAGCACACTGAACTATATGGAGAACTATCTCGAGGATTTCCATAAACACATGGATATCTTTTTAGAATTCAGGGCGTACAAGAAGACGTTAAAGGATGCGAGAGATCGAACGAAAGCAGTAACTAGCTCCCAGAGCACCCAGCAACGCTCCCAGAGCACCCAACGAGGCTTGGAGGAGATCCGGGAGATTCGGGAAAGATCGCACTTCAACTTCATCAAATTGCACGTCTTAATGCACTACCGGGAGCACGTTGAGCGCTTTGGGAGCATTCCTCAATACTCCACGGACGTCAGCGAGCTTGCCCATGTACGGCAGGTAAAAGAAGCTTACAGAGCGTCCAACAAGGTTGATGCTGCGACGCAGATACTGGACTATGGAGGGAGGCGATTGGCGTTAGAGATCCGAATTCTAAATCTGAAAGATATCGTCGGAGGTCCTGAGAGCACTGACGACATCCTCTGGAGCCATCGGGATAACCTCAAGGAGTTGCTCGACATTTTCAAAATCGAGGACCGCAGGAAAACGCCGAATGAACGCTCAATAGTAGAAAGCGGACTGCCCCTGAAGCGTCTTTGCAATCCCTCGTCGAAATCGGAAAGACTTTTCAACGTGGCAGATGGACTGCAAATGAACCATACCACGCTGTATCGCCTGATAAAGGAGTATGCCGAGCATGCGGGATGCTCTCAGAGCTTTGCCGGAAGCTCTGAGAGCATTTTGGAGCGTCGGGTGGAGGTTTTCACATGCTTGCAGGTTCCGATACCAATATTCCAAAGACCTGACGTATACGAGGTTCACAACATCAGGTGTACAGGAACATTATCTTTTAGGAAGGGGAAAATAAGAAAGGATTGGGCATGGGTATCGGTAGGTTCCTCAGAGCAGTGGGGAGTGTTTCGGGGACGCTTACCAGGACGAGTGGAGGCTCTGTTCAAGGTACGGGATAGCACAGGGCGCGCACATAGACTATGTGTAGTTGAGCTGCTTGAGGCGAAGGATCGTGGTATCGCTGATAGCTCACATGGGCTGCTGAAAGTCTGTAGGAGGAGGAGAAAGAAGATGTGGGTCGTGAATATTCGGAGTATATTAGGAATGGCCCATTTGTTCGAGGTGGATGCTGGCAATTGGCTGGTAAATACTAGGATAGATTTGCGTACGTGGAATGAATTCAGTTGAATGCTGAAAAGCATTCCCGAGTGCTATGCAGTGATATGAGAGGATTACCGAGTGCTATCCAGTGATATGAGAAGAATACCGAGTGCTATCCAGTGATATGAGAGGAATACCGGGTGCTATTCAGTGAATGCTCTGAGGGCAGTGGCGAGTGCTCTACGAGTGGAATGTTAGACCCAATTGGACTCTCTAATTCAAAATTCGTGTCGTTCTGCTAAGCATGCGGATTGGAAGAGGGAGGTAAGTTTCGGCCGCTCAGTATCTGAGTCTGGCTATCCTGCAAGCTCGCCCCAGGAGGACGCGGTAGGCAGGCATTGGTCTTCCAACCAGTAAAGTCATCCTGCACCTTTTTCCAGTCCATGTTGCTGCTTAGGCATGGACATTGAGCTTTTCAGACGAGCCGTACCATGGCCTCAACCTCAAGGCTTATGCCTTTCACGAATCAACAGATACATACACGTTCATCAAAGGTTTGGTAGCCATCTCCAGTATACACGACAGTGCTCGTATCAGTATTCCGCGACTGACCGTTCAGCGGCGTGAAGAATACCCACGTGAGATATTGTTTGAGAGACTGGCGATGCCTACCTTGCCTTTGAAGAAAGCGTATCGATTCATATGGGTCTAAGTAGGGGATGTCCCACCTTGAATAGTATTATCAAAGATGTTTTGGTAGCTCTACGAGCATTGGTCAGTGCTCTCCAGACGTGGGCTTAGCAGTGCCTGGAAAACCATGTTGACGAAGACTGTCTTGGCGTGAGCGATATGCTCCGGCGGTGTCTGGCGAGCAGCTCGGTGAGAATGCTCTCCTGGCACAGATAGCACTGATGAGTGCTGTCAGGGCGCTGACGCTGTCTCCTGGCGACCCCCGACGCGTCCGTGATTCGTTGCCAGTCACTGGGCGGAGACTCATTCGTTGATCATTATCCAGACGCAGGAGGCATACCCCAGGCATGTCATGGCGGGGAGAGCATTGCCGGGTGCTCTTAGGACGTGCACCACATTGCCTGGACATTCCTGACGCGTGAAGGTGCGCAATGCGCCTAGAGAAGATCGCGGAGAGAGCATTGCTGGGTGCTCTGGAGATGTAGGTGATATCGCTAGGAGCACTCTGTAGACAGCAGCATTAGCGAGCGTAAAAAAAAAGCTCATTAGGAGGACTATTCGGTACTGCTTGGAGCGAGTGCTCTGTTTGGAGCGAGTGCTTTGGCGGAGGGCTCTGCTTGTGGCAAGTGCTCTGCATGAAGCGAGTGCTCTGCTTGGAGCGAGTCTCTGGCGGAGTATATAGACGATTATGCGCCCTGGTGCTGCCAGAGAGGATAAATAGTGCTCAGGAGGCGTCGGGCGCGGGAATGTATCGTCTGGCACGAGCATTATGCTCTGGCGACGCCTGGCGCGGGAGCTCTACCCTGGCGACGCCTGGCGTTCTTGACACCCAGGGCGTAGGCTCTGCGCCCTGAGGAATCCCAGAGTTTGCTGATGTACATCGTAAGTCTTGACGAAGTTGGCTACATCCGTGGACATTCCTGGCCACCAGTAGTTCCTATCGATCAACTCATGGATTTTATCCCTCCCTAGATGCCCCGCTATGGGTCGGTCATGATGTTCCTCAATAACCTGCTTGACTGCGTAGCCTGGTACTACTCATCGACCATCGTGGGTGGGGTCATTCGAATCGGGACTCCATTCAGCGGCAGACTCTGACTTTACGATAACAGCCTCCAGTGGTCCAAAGATTTCAAGGTTTGAATCAGGGAGGTGTTCATCCGGAACCATCCTCCGAACACATCGTCTTTCCTGTTCATACCAACCCTGTAGTATCTGAGGCAGCTCTACGCTTGGTATGTCATACCACTGATTCAACTGATTCCATTCCTCTTTGGGGTTGCCAATCACTTCGGACCCAGTTTTTACGCTGGCGCGTGATTTTCTGACAAACTGTTCTGCACTGAGTAGCTGTTTTACGGGCTACTTACACATCACTCCCCCTTCCATCGTGAACTTCGGATGCCTTGTGAGTGCATCTGGCTCGCGGTTCTTTTCGCCTGGTTGGTAATAGATCTTGAAGCGAAAAGGTGCTATCTTCTCGGCCCATCTGGCTTGTCCTCTCGACAATTTCTTGGTCGTTGTGAAATACTGCAGGTTTTGGTGATTCGAATGTATCTGGATAGGGATGTGCATCCCTTCCAGCCAATGTCTCCAAGTCAAGAGAGGAGAAACTATTCCGAGCATCTCCTTGTCATTATACTCATTTCTGATGGGGTGAACTTAGGGTTAAGGTTAGCCCCCCCCATCCCCAAAAACACGGAGACCCCTATAGTATGCAGTTCTACGTGCTGTACAGTCCCCTTCACCCACTTCTCCTTTGATATATAGGGGACGTACGGTTGACTTGCTTTTGCCTCCTAGAACAAGCGTCGTGAGGCGTTTGTTTTACCTGTATGGATGCATTGCATCCTGACCGAAAGCAAGTTTGCACCTGCGATACATACAAATTTGCAAGGTTTCACTACTTTCTCAGCTATAACCCTCACCTCCACAGGCTACACATCCATAGTCCGCGCTTGCAACTACACCTCACTGCCAATACATCTATATCAGTAAAAAACAATGGAGTCATATATAATTAGCTGTCAACGGTGCACTAATCCCACTAAACTGGGCTCTCCATGCTGCCTGTCGTTTCCACCCAACATGATTAACCAATCCCTGAGATGACCAATCATGCTTTGCTTATTCGGGTGATCTGAAATATGATATATGGCGTAACCCAGTTCCGATTGCTTGGGCAGTGGCGAATGATATCAAATTTGACAGATTATACTGTGAGGATTCCCCCTTCATATCTCAGCTGGCGGTACCTTACCAGCTACTTTGATTACTACCTTCTGGTTGCATCTACTACTGGATTTAGATAACTTTACGAATACCGCTGCGGGAACCAAACCAATGGCCAAATCGAGTCCCAAATTGATGTAGAACAGAGATTTAATTGACATCTACTTGGTGCCAAATTGTGTACTAAATTACATTGTATCGATAGCAAGTAGGCACCATATTATACTCATTTCTGATGGGGTGAACTTAGGGTTAAGGTTAGCCCCCCCCATCCCCAAAAACACGGAGACCCCTATAGTATGCAGTTCTACGTGCTGTACAGTCCCCTTCACCCACTTCTCCTTTGATATATAGGGGACGTACGGTTGACTTGCTTTTGCCTCCTAGAACAAGCGTCGTGAGGCGTTTGTTTTACCTGTATGGATGCATTGCATCCTGACCGAAAGCAAGTTTGCACCTGCGATACATACAAATTTGCAAGGTTTCACTACTTTCTCAGCTATAACCCTCACCTCCACAGGCTACACCTCCATAGTCCGCGCTTGCAACTACACCTCACTGCCAATACATCTATATCAGTAAAAAACAATGGAGTCATATATAATTAGCTGTCAACGGTGCACTAATCCCACTAAACTGGGCTCTCCATGCTGCCTGTCGTTTCCACCCAACATGATTAACCAATCCCTGAGATGACCAATCATGCTTTGCTTATTCGGGTGATCTGAAATATGATATATGGCGTAACCCAGTTCCGATTGCTTGGGCAGTGGCGAATGATATCAAATTTGACAGATTATACTGTGAGGATTCCCCCTTCATATCTCAGCTGGCGGTACCTTACCAGCTACTTTGATTACTACCTTCTGGTTGCATCTACTACTGGATTTAGATAACTTTACGAATACCGCTGCGGGAACCAAACCAATGGCCAAATCGAGTCCCAAATTGATGTAGAACAGAGATTTAATTGACATCTACTTGGTGCCAAATTGTGTACTAAATTACATTGTATCGATAGCAAGTAGGCACCATATTATAAACTAACTCAAGTAACAAGTTGGAAACTGAATTTTTCACAAAACTGCAACAAAACAAAGTTAAATTGCTGGAAAGGAGGTAACAAAGGTAGTACTGCAAAAGTTAACCCTAGCAGAAGGCAAACAAAAGCGCTCAGCCAGTTAGGGTTAGTTAGGGTTAGTTAGGGTTAGTTAGGGTTAGTTAGGGTTAGTTAGGTTAGTTAGGTTAGTTAGGGTTAGTTAGGGTTAGGGTTAGTTAGGGTTAGTTAGGGTTAGTTAGGGTTAGTTAGGGTTAGTTAGGGTTAGTTAGGGTTAGTTAGGGTTAGTTAGGGTTAGTTAGGGTTAGTTAGGTTAGTTAGGGTTAGTTAGGTTAGTTAGGGTTAGTTAGGGTTAGTTA